TGGCGAACAAGTACATAGTACCCTCGCTCGCCAAGAAATGTACAGAATATCTTCGCGACAACCTGAACGCATCTAATGTATTTTTTATTCTGCCGTACGCACAGAAATTTGAAAATAAAGACTTAGAAGATCGATGCTGGAAAGTGATTAAAGAGCAGACAGAAGAAGCTGTGACGTCAGATGAATTTTTTAAAGTTGAGCGATCTGTTGTTGAATCTGTTGTGAAGCGAGAGAAGTTGAGCGTAACAGAACTAAAATTGTACAAGGCAGTCGATGGCTGGGCCACGGCAGAAGTACAAAGGCAAGGACTTACTCCTGATGGAAAGACGAAGAGACGAATTCTTGGGGAGGACATTGTTAAAGCAATACGATTTCCATTGATATCACAGAAGGATTTTATGTCAGTTGTATTTGATTCTGATATTCTCACTATTCATGAGGTTGGAAACATGATGAAACATTATAGTGGTGTTTTAAAATCTCCTTTGTTATTTAAGGATACCGCAAGGAGCCTTTTATTCCGATGTAATCGATTTCTAAAGTTCAATTCGCCAGCAATAAAAATTTGGTCATACTCGGGTGGAACTGACAGTATTGAATTTACAACAAACAAGCCAATCTTGCTACATGGTGTTCAGCATTTTGGCTCAGACGGTGGCAAGTATACTGTCTCTACCGAAGTTAAAGTTACAGCCCACACTTCTTGTCTCGGAAAGAAATCAGGAACATACTCTTCAATAAAGGAAGAGACTAATAATTATTATAGCTTCGATGTGATGTTTGATCCGCCAATTCGTTTGGAGGCTCATGAAAGCTATAGGCTTGTGTCGCTTATCAAGGGTCCTTCATCATGGTATGGAGATGAGGGAGTAACGTCTCTTAAATTGAGAGGAGTGCAGGTCAATTTCATGAAGTCAGTGGAGAGTGCCAATCACACTTCGGAAACGAGTGGCCAATTTCCAGCTTTCATATTTAGTACTTGTTAAGCATAGATAATAGAAAATTATTTTTTGATTGTTTTTGCTGCTAATAATTGACGAAGTTAAAAATTATTGAATACGTACTTTTGTTCTTTGCGACCTTGTAAGTGTTCAGAAGTGAATTAAGTGTCACGACGGAACATTGGAATGCTTTTGGAATGTTTCACTTATTACTTAAGTTGTTACGTTAAACAATAATGACATTCTGAAATGAAAATAAACCTTCGAACAGTTTGTTTGTATCGTCAGCCAGAAATTAGATGGACACTTCCCCTGGTGAATTACAGCTTTACTTTGGTACCAGTCAGTATTCCTCGGCTTTTAAGCCGACGGTTAAAACCCTTTAACTCCCATGAGTGACCAAGACAGAATTTCTTCTTACAATATCTATACAATATCATGCAGACAAGTGATAAGACTAAAGAAAAATATCCATTACGGGATTACTAATTGATCTGATATCAAATTCTCCAAACTAACATGATGAGAATCATTCTGCAGACAGTAAGGGAAATTAATAATGGGATCTTGGGAGTTAAAGGGTTGATAGGGGGTGGGGTTGTTGCAGGATTTAGAGGATCACAAGATTTTTAGGGAGAATGGAGGGGGGATCTGTCGTCTCCAATAGTTTATGAAGAGGAGACTATAGAAAATTGACTGTCAGTGAGGGGCATCCTTAGAATAATGCAGAGCCTTAGGAGGAAGGGGGGGGGGGCGGGTTGTGGAGGGATCAAATTAATTTTATTGTGACAAAAATAAAAATTTCGAAATACCCCCCTCCCCTACCCTAGGCGATGACCGGTGCCTTTAGCGATGTGTGAGTTTTTACAGCTTATTACTGTTCAGTGCCTTTCGAGTTGATGCATTGGGGGCAAGAAATTTCTGTACCAAATCAATTTCTTTGCCTCTTCTGAAGCTTAGGATATTATTTTGAATTCGGAGGATGCGATCGAGGTCATCTTTTATTCTCCACGAAAGGTAAACTGAAATACAAAGTTCGGAGAGTGTTAAAAGAGAGTGGAAAACAACCCCCAAAAAACACGTACGTAATTATCATGAGTATCTGAAGAGAGTATCGTTTGGTTGCAAATTAACAGCCCATAATAATGCACAATGTCAGTGCCACTGGGCAACAGTAAAAATCATATCTTTATTAAAGGCTCATTGTTTACCTGACGATACTGCATACAGAAAATCACATTCACAGTTACACGTAAAAATCATAAGAGGTTTGCGCTGGTTGAAAATTAGCAAACATGAAGAGTTAGACGAGTCAAACTGTTTAAATTCCCATAAATCTTTGCCCAAAGTGAAACCACAGCAAACATGCCAAAATTTGCACCAACTTAACAAAAAATCTGCGAAGAGTATCGAGAGTGGAACACAACGATGGCGGCAGAAGAAAACTGGCAGTCGAAACTATCAACCATAGCCGAGAAGACCGCTTTCATCTTCAACAAGGAGTTAGTGAGCGATGTAAAATTTGTCGTTCCAATGTCGACAGACGAAAGCGAAAGAAAACTCACAAGTTTGTGCTCGCAATCAATAGTCCTGTGTTCTTTGCCATGTTCTATGGTCAAATGGCGGAGACTAAAGACTCTATTGAACTGCCTGACTGTGAGTACGAGAGTCTGTTGGAGGTGTTTCGTTTCATGTAAAGCAACAATGTGAATTTAAGCGGAAGTAATGTAATGAAAGTGCTGTACTTGTCGAACAAATACACGGTATCGCTTGTCGAGAAATGCGAAGAATATCTTCGAGAAAACCTGAAAGCATCGAACGTGTTCTGTATTCTGCCGCACGCTCAGAGATTTGAAGATAAAGACTTAGAAGATCGATGTTGGGAAGTGATTAAAAACCAGACAGAAGAAGCTGTGACGTCAGACGAATTTATGTCAGTTGAGAGATCTGTTGTTGAATCTGTTGTAAAGAGAAGTGTTGAATGTGACGGAAGTGGAACTGTTCAAAGCTGTTGATCGCTGGGCCAGAAAAGAATGTGAAAGGCAAGGGATGACTTCTGATGGAAGGACAAAGAGACAAATTCTCGGAGAAGATATTGTTAACGGAATACAGTTTCCTCTGATGGAAGAGAAAGATTTTGTATCTGTCGTATTGGACTCTCATCTCTTGAATATTGAAGAATTATGCAACATGATAAAACTCTACAACAATGTTTTGAATATTCCTTTACCGCGCGTATAAGCCTGTAGAGGTATTTTACGATGTCAGAGACTTAAGATGTTTTTCTCAGGACCATACTGGGGTAACGACGGCAAAGACCCTGACTGTATCATTCTCACCGTCAACAAGCCTATCGGTTACACGGAGTTGAACATTTTGGTTCTGATGGAGGCGAGTACACAGTTAAGACAGACATTTTTGAACCCATGGACAACACTTCGCTCGTAAAACGAGCGGGAAATTATACTTCAGAAAAAAGCGATACCCACGTTATCCATACCGCGGATGTCCTTCGAGAAAAAATTCGTACGCGAGCTAGTCTCACTAAAATCCTAGCAAACTATATATCAGAGAAAAGTAACTTCAGTTTACGATTAAGATTTAATTTAAGCGCCTTTTCTTTTAAGGAAGACACAGGAAGTGTCAGGAGCCGGTAAGGCGTGAAACGACCGAAGGTTCTTTTATTTAATTTATCGGGTATCGGATGCCGCAGCACGAGCAAGATAGCTGCACAGTCTCATTCACAAGGCATTAATCAACAAAAGTGTGTCAGGCTTTTTTTGATATTCTGATTTGTTGTCTAGATATCGGCATCTTAAGTTGGAGGGTAAGCTGGAAAACCAGGAATCCGGAATTCCGGCGGAATTCCGCCGTAATTTCGCCGGAATTTTTCAACGTCCGTTTTTTTTAAATTCAAAATGACTCCGATGATTTTCCGAAGAGTGTACGAGCTCCGAATATACTCCGAAGATTAACCGAAGATTATCCGATGGCTTCCAAAGTTACCCGGAGAGCCCCGAATTTTTGAAGGCTTGCTTTTTCAATTCCTTTTTTTCTTCTATCAAGATTTTTCCGAAGAGGGTACGAGCTACGAATATATACACCAAGGATTAACCGAAAATTATCCGAGGGTTTCCGAAGTTACCCGGAGATTACCGAGGAACAATCGAGCCCCCGGCTTCATCTATTTTTCACTTATTTTTCTATTTTATCTTTTGTTTATTTTTAATTATTAACATCTATTTTTAACGGCCGTTAAACTAAATAATAAACAGCAAATCATTCGTCAAATTATGGGTTAACATGGTCAGCGTCCCTTTAACCGAGATCTCGATTACCGTAATTTCCGGTCGTTTACCCGCACAGCCGATTACCCGCACCGGCCGATTATTGCATAAGGCGGAAGAAAAAGTCAACAGATTACCCGCACGTTATGTTATTCAACTTTTTGGTGGCGGAAACGTGACATTAAGGTGATACATTTCAGTCTTTTAAAAGTTGTCTGATCCAACTTTCGAAAACTTGAAAGCGTCTTTGTCGAGTTTAAAGGTCAAAGAAATTCAGACGCGTGCACAATTCTGTGTCAATATTAGCATGTACTTTATTGATAAGATTATACAGTAAAAACACTAGCGGACCATGCCCAAATCTCAACGCTTCATACTTAACAGAATGCGAATTTGTGGTCACATTTTGTGCGAGCGATCGTTCGGCGCCATATTGATTTGTTGAAAAAAAGCTGGGTGAGTATTAGAACTTGAATTATAAAGTACTGTCGGCGATTTCTGAAAAAAAATCGATATCTCCGGTTCTATTGGGCCTAACAAGTCCCTTAAAACGGGAAAATTCTCTTTAGCTCAAGCTGTGTTAAATGGAAATTTGTTTCTGATGCGCCGGATATCTTTGGATTATTTTTGTCACCATCAAGGTTTTGTTTTCACGCGTGCCGATAGCGCAACTAATTATGCGTGAAATAAACTCGAGTCGGCATCATGTTTTCGTGCCGCTTTGCGGCACTCTTAATACAATAAAATTCATTTGAGAGGTGGAAACGCATGTTGGTGATAATTTTTTTCAATTCAACTACCACTAGATTTTAAAATTGTCACATAACCAGCACCTCCCTATTACCCGCAGTGGCGCGCGTTTAATGCAAAATCAACAGATTACCCGCGGGTTAACGACCGGAAATTAAAAACCGTACAAGGAAAATATAACAAAGCCTAAGTCAATCTGCCATTTACTCAATTACAATTCCGGGAAAGCACTGCTTAACGAAAGCGATAAGCTCTTCCGTTAGAGACGGGCCTTCCTCAGTCCTCCACAACAGACCCTGCAAGTGGCCTGCTTGGAACCAGGGACGACGTGTGCACAGACACGCTATGTTAATATGGTAGTACCTTCTTTGTGCTCTTCCTAACTTCCAACATTTGGTGCAATCTAGGTACATATTTGGATTCCAGTCCACCTCTAAACGTCCAATGACTGCTATGCTGTCAACAGATTGAGAGTCTTTTTGAAAAAACGAAAAAGCGAGAAGAGACAAAAACGGGGGTTTCCCTTAATTTGAAGGCACCGAAGGGAAAAATCCCAGTCCTCTTGACCTGTTCATTGTCTGAAAAAGCAAAAGAAAAACTTCTTTGGACTTCTAAGACGCTGTCTTCCTCGGGGGTTTCCCATTCATTCCAAAAATACAAAAAGCTGCTGTTAGCACTTTTTGCATCATTTTTTGCACTGTCACGAGACATACAAGGATGACTCTTGTTATTTCACTCTGCAAGACGTGATTGTTGATGAGCAATCTCTCTCTCTAGCTATTTGGAAACTAGGCTGTTAATCACCGAGAAAATTTTGAGAATTGAAGTTTTGCAAGACATACGTGACTCATCATCTGATGCGACTGTCTGGTGACATCACTTGTCTCTTGAAATAAGATATGAATAATGATTCAATTTTTGTTCCCCGCGCTTGTGCTAGGGATTGAGGATATTCATAAACCATCTTACCAGAAAAGAAGAGAAAACCGTGCAGAAATATTGCTTGCCTTTTTAAGTTGTAAGAGCGACGAACTGAAAGAAGAGAAAGGTTATCGAGGACAGTGTTAAATTTTTCCGACGGGTTAGACCCTGTTCAGTCGTAAGAAGAGACAAAATTAATAAAATTGATCTCCTTATATAATTTGTCGGCTGCTTGGAGCGATTACCTGTTGTAGGATATCAATTGCATCATAACATTTAACACGGCTTTGCAGTTGTCTCTTTCTCTTTGACCGGAGAGAAAAAAAATAGACGTCTTCTAACTGTTGCCTTAACACATTGTGTGAGATAAGACCCTGAGAGATACTGAGAGCAGACCAAAGAGATGCCTATGGAAGAAATCTGGCAGACGAAACTTCCAACTCTTGTTGATAGAACCACTTCTATTTTCAACAGTGAGTTACTGAGCGATGTAAAATTTGTCGTTCCGGTGTCGACTGCGGAAAGTGAAAGTAAGAAAGTGATCCCAGCTCACAAGTTTGTTCTTGCCATCAGTAGTCCTGTGTTCTTTGCCATGTTCTATGGTCAAATGGCGGAGACTAAAGACTCTGTTGACCTGCCTGACTGTGAGTACGAGAGTCTGTTGGAGTTGTTTCGTTTCTTGTACAGCGACAAAGTGAATTTAAGCGGAAGTAATGTGATGCAAGTGTTGTACTTGGCGAATAAATACATGGTGCCTTCACTCTTGGACAAGTGCACAGAATACCTTTGCAACAACTTGACAACATCCAACGTATTTTGTATCCTGACACATGCTCAGAAATTTGGCGGTAAATCTTTAGAAGATCGATGCTGGGAGGTGATTGAGCGGCGAACCGAAGAGGCTGTGACTTCAGACGAATTTGTTACAGTTGAGCGATCTGTTGTTGAATCTGTTGTCAAGAGAGAAGTATTAAATGTGAAAGAGGTGGAACTGTTCAAAGCTGTTGATCGCTGGGCTACAAAGGTGTGTGAAAAGGAAATTCCAATAGCCCCCAGTGATGGAGAAGAAAAGAGACGAATTCTTGGAGATGAGATCGTTAAAGCAATACGGTTTCCACTGATGTCGGAAGAGGTGTTTATGTCTGAGGTGCTTAATTCTCACATCCTTGCTCTTAATGAGGTTGAAGATATGATAAAGCATTACAGAGGGGTTCTTCAGTCACCTTTGCCGTTTAAGAAAGGCGCGAGGGGTAAAATTGACTACATCCGTTGTAACCGATTTCAAAAGTTTAATGCTCCGTGCAGTGGAAGCGATGGTTGGTTAGGTGCCGGGTATTACAGTGTTACAGTCCCAAGCTCCGGTGGTTCTTGGTCTTACAATGGTGCAGCGGCTGACAGTGTCAATTTTACAGTCAACAAGCCAATCATGTTACACGGAGTTCAACACTTCGGTTCTGTAGGTGGCAACTACACGGTTTCCACTGAAGTTAAAGATACCACCCACAACTCTTGTCTTGGAAAAGAATCAGGAACTTACACCTCAGAAAAGGAAGACAGGAAGAATTATTATGGCTTTGATGTATTGTTTGATCGTCCAGTTTCGCTGGAAGCAAACAAACAGTACACCTTAATGTCTGTTATCGAGGGTCCTTTGTCATGGTATGGAGCGGAAGGACAAATGTCCGCTGAGTCAGGAGGGGTGCAATTCAGTTTCAGTGATTCAGACGATGATTCTAACAGCACCTCGGTTACAAACGGCCAGTTTCCAGTCATTATTTTCAATTAATTTCTGGGTACACTACTTAGTGGTTTCTCTTTTTTACTCGTTAAGTTTTTCAAGACTTCAATTGAAGGTACGTCTTTTACGGATGAAAGAAGTCGAAAAAGATTCTTAAGAAATTAGCATCTGGCAGTTAAAAGAAAGCTAAATGAATTTCGAATTTGGTCCGTTAGTTTTTCTCAGTTTAAGATTTTTCTAAATTTCGTATGCGTGAAAAGGCACCAAATAGGTCGTTTGATTCTGGCCCCTTTGATTCCATCATCAGAAAAATAGTAGAGTGGCAAAGTTTAGTTCAAGGCGTTTGTAACGAAGTTTTCATGTTTTTATCGGTACAATTTCTTGTTGATTGTTTCAATTCAATTTTGCTCTGTAGGCAAGTCGAGGCGTTGTGACCAGGAGCAATGGGTTTCAAGGATTTATAAAGTTTAGAATTTTTTCAAGGTTTTCACACTGGCAGACATAAACTACGGTGTTAAACAAGGATTTTCAGCCCTGAAATCGTGATGTTAGGCTCTTGTTGAGTAAATTTTGAGGTGAAAGAACTCTTGAAAGACGACAGACTTGTATTAAATGTCGATTTTCAATAAGTGAAAACATTTCATTGTTCAAGATGTCTTCTTCCACAGAGTACATTTCAGAAACCTCAGAATGCCCCTCCCCGAAAAAGTCTCAGTGTGAACTGTTATACGTATCAATAGGAACCTACACTCATTAGTTCAGCGGGCGAATACATATTTTCCACAATAAGAGTAAGAGGAAAGAAATTACTGTCGTTGAAGAGAATTGAAAGCGGTACCTTAGTAGGCGACAGAAGAAACTGGTATCGTCTTTACGGTAAGCCGAACCTCGTTTATTTTCAACCACAATGTACTGAGCGATATGAAGTTTGTTGTTGCAATGTCGAATAACGGAAGCGAAACTGCCTAACTGTGAGTACGAGAGTCTGTTGGAGTTTTTTCGTTACATTTACAGCGACACTGTCGTTGGAGTGAAATTAAGTGGAAGCAATATATGATGCAAGTTCATTACTTGGCGAAAAAATTGATACCTTTGCTGGCTGAGAAATGCTCTGAATACCTGAAATGGATCCTGACATCATCCGGCGCATTCTTAATTCTTCACTACGGACAGAAATTTGAAGATTAACGTTTGGAAGGTCGATGTTGGGAAATAATTGGATTATACACTGAAGAACTCATGTCAGATGATTTTGTTACTGTGGAGCGATCTGATATCGAGTGTCTTGTAAACAGGAGAGTGTTGGTTATCACAGAGGTAGAATTGTTCTGTTCGCTGGGCCACAAAAGAATGCGAAAGGCAAAGTATATCTTCTGATGGAGAAGCGAAAAGACGAAATTGTAAAACCAATACGGTTACCATTGATGTCGCAAAAGGAGTTTACCTCTACTGTGTTAAATTCTATATTTTCGACTGATGAAGAGTTTGGCATCGTTATGAAATACTACAGCGATTAATTCACGTCTCCTCTATCATTCCGAGACATTCCAAGACGTAAGAAGAAACACCCAACCGCTCACACGTTCCTGGTTGTAAGAAGAAATCTCTAAAGGGCAACTGCGTGGACTTCCATAGGTGTACTGAGGAGTTCTTAGCGGAAACCCGCTTTCTCGCTGCAAAAGATTTAACTATTCCAGTCTTCTAAATATCTTTAGGGGTTATTCTGGCTTCAATTCTCAGTCGACAAACCCATCACGTTACTTGTAGTTCAGCACTTTGGCTCGGAAGGTGTGAAGAGAACATAGTATCTACAGAAGTTATTGATACAACAAACAACGCATCGGTTGCACATCAATCTAGAACATACCCTTCAGGGATGGACGACATTGCGAATTATTACGGTTTTCATGTATCGTTTTATTGTCCTGTTTATTTGGAGACACATAAACAGTACAAGGTGCAGTCGATTGTCGACGATCCTATCTCATGGAGCGGAAAACAAGGACAGACATTTGTGGAATCCGAAGGGGTGCGATTCACTTTCAGTGATGCAGAAGATGGTACAGCTGATGACACTTCCGTAGTGCACGGCTTATTTCCAGCTTTTCTCTTGTCTTAATAATATCACGAGTTCGGAAGATGCTTCAGCGGACGATACTCATTCTTATCAAGACCTCGCGCGCTGATTTTCCCAACAGGTACCAGGGGCAAACAAATAACTCGCCTTTTCCAACTTGAAACAAGTAACACTATTACCATGTTTGATATACATTAAACAGATCAAAACGAGGTTGTTTCTTCACTTAGTATCATTATTTGTATCACTTGTCTGTTTGATCAACTCGCAGAATGTCTTCCAATCAATTACACTATCTCCATTATTCTATCTATGTCAATCTAAAACCTTATCTTCAAAATTCCCGTCTTCTTCCTTTTCACATATCATTTAGGTGACAAACTCATATTAAATTTATTCATCAAGAAAGCATGTATCGTCGTCTTTTATGTTGATCGGGTTTAACGCATGGTTGCGTCGGCGTCGGCGTCGAGGGACCAATTTGGGAAAATAATTGGAAGCACGAAATTTCTTGCTAATTTACATTTTACTTTAATTTGCTTTTTATCCTGAAGTGCGCAGTTGATTTTTTAGTTTGCCGACCTTCCTAGTTGTTGTTTAGTCAAATGATGCTTGACAAGACGAAAGGATTCTAAAAGAATACCACTTAGTTGAGAAACACATGCGTAACACGTGAATTAACAGCTTTTAAAATTCCTTTTGTCTTAAATAGAACAATTGCAAACTTGTGGTGACGATTGCTGTTTGAACTATTAAGCACATCATAGCCAGGCTGCAAGCAAGCCCTTTACCTCCTAACTAGCGCTTCGGTACGAACCTTCTTTGCCCAAGACGAGCCGACGAGAGGTGTACAGTGGGGGTTCAAAATGACAGGTCCTGTCATTTTTCACCAATCAGAATTTGTTTCTTTTGTTTCTTTTGTTTCTCGCACTTTTTTAATTCAAGCAGCTGTTGTTTCCAATAGACCTTATTGAAGAGGATTACTTAAGTACATGTGTAAGCGCGGTGAAAGAAGAGCATGGAAGTAGGCTGGCAGACGAAGCTACAAGGTCTCGTAGAAAGAACCGCGTTTATTTTCAACAACGAGTTACTCAGCGATGTAAAATTTGTCGTCCCATTTTCGCCTAGTGAAATTGAATTACGTACGAAGGTAATCCCAGCTCACAAGTTTGTGCTCGCAGTCAGTAGTCCCGTGTTCTTTGCCATGTTCTATGGTCAAATGGCGGAGACTAAAGACTCTATTGAACTGCCTGACTGTGATTATGAGAGTCTGTTGGAGTTGTTCCGTTTCTTGTACAGCGACAAAGTGAATTTAAGGGAAAGAAATGTGATGCAAGTGTTGTATCTGGCAAACAAATACATGGTGCCTTCACTCGCCGAGAAATGTTCAGAATATCTCCGAGACAATTTGACAGCATCAAACGCGTTCAGTATTCTGACGCTCGCTCATAAATTTGAAGATAAAAATTTGGAGTATCGATGCTGGAAAGTTATTGAGAAGCAGACGGAAAAAACTGTGAGAGGAGACGAATTTGTTACAGTTGATCGATCTGTAGTTGAATCTGTTGTGAAGAAAGAAGTGTTGAATGTGACAGAAGTGGAACTGTTCAAAGCTGTTGATCACTGGGCTACGAAAGAATGTGAAAGGCAAGGATTAACTGTTAATGGAGAGAGCAAAAGAAGAATCCTTGGAGAGGAGATAATTCGAGCAATACGGTTTCCGTTGATGTCACTGAAGGAGTTTGAGTCAGTTGCGCTCGACTCTAATATTCTAACCATTGATGAGGTACGCGACATAATGAACCATTTTAAGGGCGCTTTAAAATTACCTTTGCCATTTATGGACAGCGCCAGGATCCATTTCCGTTGTAACCGATTTCCAAAATTCAATGTACCGGCCGGAAGTGGCTGGTACCACAGTGGAGCGTACAGTGTAAATTTTACCATCAACAAGCCTTTAAAGCTTCTTGGAGTGGAACAGTTTGGCTCAGAAGATGGCGAGTATACCGTGTCTACTGAAGTTAAAGATACAGCCCACAACTCTTGTCTTGGAAAAGTATCAGGAACGTACACGTCAGTAAAGGACGATACGGACATCTACTTTGGCTTCGATGTAATGTTCAATCGTCCAGTTTGTTTGGAGGGAAATAAACAGTACACGTTGGTGTCAGTTGTAAAGGGTCCTGTGTCATGGTACGGAGAAGAAGGACAATTGTCCGTTGAATCCGGAGGGGTGCAGTTCACCTTCAGTAAATGTACATTCAAGAATGATAACGGTCACAGCTCAGTGACTTCAGGCCAGTTTCCCGCTTTCATTTACAGCTAAATTTTGGTTACAGTACGTAACAGAATCACTATTTGGGGGACAAGTCGATATTCGTGGCCGAGGGGGTGGGGTAGACGATTTGGGTGGATGAAGGATCTCGGGGGTTCACGTGGTTTCCAGGGGGATAAATAATGACCGGTCGCTTGAGTGTTTTCATATTTCACTCCGAAATTAGAGGTCTATGAGCCATGTGAACAGGATGGTGTCCTGGCGGTTTTAGGATACTAAATACTTGTGATGGGTAAAATAATTCACCTCTCAGAAAATTACACCTTGATATTCAGAACCAAATGAATCGCAAACCATATATAGTTTGCACAAATGTAAAGCTGCCCAATAAAATTAGATTTTTATAAGATGTAGCAATTTTCTATTAAGTGTCGAAAGTAAGGCGTGATTGCTTTGGTTTTGATTCGCTACTCTTTAAGCTTCGTCCATAAAATTGGCGCTACTCTTGACCAATTGAATACAGAATTGAAAGCAACTTGGCCTCCTGCGTTTCTCCTGCTCCTCTGGCACTATGCCACCACCCCACGCAGCAAACAGTGAGCCATGTGTTCGTAAAAATTTCTCCCACACGTTGCAAAAACATATAAAGGATAATAAACATAATATACGTGGCCTCCATTTTGGCGAACGCTCTTATATTTTATCCTTGGGCATCATCTGTTCCTCGAAGCTCACAGTTTCCTCGAGCATCCCTCTCAGAAAACTGTTCGCTTCTCAGAACAGATGTTCGCGAACATCCGTTCATATTTTCGCGCCAAATGGAGGCTATTGTTTGTCTATCGCTCTGACACAATGTGGCGTGACATGGAATATTTTCATTCAATCACATTGCATAAGCGGCCAATATTTGCCGTGAACATTGTTTACATCGTCATAGTATATCTATTAGAAAGGCTAGACCTGATCGGAAAGTAACGATGGCTGTTGCGGAAGAAAACTGGCAGACGGCATTATCAACTATCACTCGGAGAACTACGTTTATTTTCAACAACGAGTTATTAAGCGATGTGAGGTTTGTTGTTCCAGTTTCGACTGAACAAGGCGGAATTAATATGGCGATCCCGGCTCACAAGTTTGTGCTCGCCATCAGTAGTCCTGTATTCTTCGCCATGTTCTATGGTCAAATGGCGGAGACTAAATACTCTATTGAACTGCCTGACTGTGAGTACGAGAGTCTGTTGGAATTGTTTCGTTTCATGTACAGCGACGAAGTGAATTTAAGCGGAAATAATGTGATGCAAGTGTTATACTTGGCGAATAAATACATGGTGCCCTCACTAACTGAGAAATGTGCCAAATATCTTCGAGAAAATTTGACAGCATCCAATGTGCTATGTATTCTGCCGCAAGCTCAGAAATTTGAAGATAAAGATTTGGAAGATCGCTGCTGGAAAGTGATTGATAAACAGACTGAAGAAGCTGTGACTTCAGATGAATTTGTAACAGTTGAGCGATCTCTACTTGAATCTGTTGTAAAGAGAGAACTACTCAATGTGAAAGAAGTGAAATTATTCAAGGCTGTTGATCGATGGGCCACCAAGGGATGTGAACGAGAAGGGATCCTCCCTGATGGACTGGCGAAGAGACGAATTCTAGGCGAAGAGATCGTGAAAGCAATACGGTTTTCCCTGATGTCGCAGGAGGAGTTCGCTACAGTTGTGGCTGATTCTCACATCCTCAACATGCTAGAGGTTGAAGAACTGATGAAACAATTCCGTGAGGATACATCAGTATCATCTGAGTCATTCTTGAATGTTTCAAGAGCGCGTTGCCTTAAGTATGTCCATCGATGTAGTAGATTTACAACGATTGTACCTCAATCTTATGACTCCGGGTGGGGATATACACGCGGTATGTCTGATAGCCTTTCGTTCTTTGTTAGTAATCACATAAATTTACATGGAGTTCAGCATTTTGGGACTGAAGGAGGAAAATACACAGTTTCTACTGAAGTCAAGGATGCCACAGATGACTTATCGCTCGCAAATCAGTTTGGATTTTACTCAGCAGCGATGAATAACACTAATCAATTCTATGGATTTGACGTATTGTTTGACATACCAGTTTGTTTAGAGCCAAACAAGGTGTACAAGGTAAAATCGTTTGTCACTGGCCCAAATTCGTGTTACGGGGACAAAGGGAAAATCTTTGTTGATTGCGAAGGAGTAAGATTCGAGTTCTGTGAGGGGGGTGATAATAACGGAACGTCTGTGAAACGGGGTCAGTTTCCTTCTTTGATTTTTACTAAGATAAGATGAAACAAGCTAGATTCTGCTATAAAAATCAATAGAAGAGTCACTTTTACGATATGATTGTAAATCCTTTCAATCTTAGGGAGATAAAATCGCTGATAAGTTTTACTTAAACATAATTGCTGCCGATGAATAATAAAATTTATGGAATAATGCATTGACACAAGAGCGTCACCAAGTTTACCCCAATAAACAGAATTCATTTCGTTATTTTTTAAAAGAAAAATTTATTAAATTCAATAATCCTTACGTGACACGAGGAGGCAACGACTTATAGGGATTCTGGTAATTGTAGTCAAATGAGAGAATAGTGCGAAAGCAGTTACGAAACCTTGAAACATTCACAGCAAATGTAACTTACAAACAAGGCTATGATGATCTCACAATACTACCCTAACCCTAATGTTTGTTTTAAATTGCAAGTCGAGTAGCAATCTATGTCTTGAGAAGTGTCTTTTTCAACCACTCCCTTGGGTTTGTGTTTGTTGTCGCTCTGTTTGATGCTCAGTTTGAGCTACCGGCTGTTAAAAATCTGGGCTATCAATAAGACAACCACTGTGTTACCAAACAAACAAACAAATAAACGAACTAACCAACCGATCAACCACTGAACAAACAAAAATCTCCGCTGAAGGATAGTTTTGCCTTTACCACTCTTGTTGGTATATTGGCCACCAAATCACAGAAAATTTGCTTCAATCCTAACTTTAAATGTTCATGTTCATGTAGACTGGAGCAGTTTTTTCTCTAAGTCAGACCAAATGTCCTTACCAGTTTCCAAACAGTTTATTAGCATTTCAACTTTTCGTGAATCCAAGCTTCCCTCCTAAAGTAAAAGAAAAGTACCTGACATAAGAATGACAAAGAAATTGTGTTGTGCTACAGCAGATAACTTTTTGTTTTAAAAATTATTGGGATTACAAGTCATTTTCTTATCTGCAGCCATAGTCAAAATTGAATTAGTGTGGCCCCCTTCCACTTTACAGTCACCTGATCAGACTTGGCCAGACTTCAACTCGGTTTTTTCAGATGATGTAAAAAAACAAACAAACAAACAAAATTGTTGACCAGTCTCTGTAAGGTTACAACAAATGACCATGAAAATGCATCCTAATTTTTTTCGTTGGATCCTCAATTGACCATGCTTATAAAAACATATGATGTATGCACAAAATTAAAACAAAATTCCAGTATATACTGAGCTCTTTGAATTAGGAAAATTCCAAGGGCTACCCTCATGTTTTTCTTTTGAAGATATGTTTGATGGATAGATTTTTGTTCTTATTATCTATGTTTATAACTAAACATACTCACAACTAATCCCACAAGGAACACACCTGTCGAAGCCGATCCAAGTCATCACCAAAACTAGAGGTTGCCATCTCCATGTAATAGTCACGGAAAGATTTTGTTTTGTCTTTGCTCTGTAAAGGGAAAATTTTATATCTTACATTTCTCTCACTCAGATGACTCAGTTATGATTGATATTTTATCGCAAAACAAAGAAGAAAAAAATGAAATTTAAAAATTACAAATAAGAACAAATGGTTACTATTCTTGCAGAAATGCTCCCTTTAGACTTTGAGTATGTTTTATGTAACAAATACAGGTAGATTCCATGTTTCTGTTTTGTGACATACACAGATGACTTAAAAATGTGGTAAGAACAAAAAAGTGGCACTGAGGTACTTACCACATTTTAAAGTCATCTGTGATCTATTACTATTACTGTGCAAACTCACATGGAATCTGGATGTAATTGTTTTACATGATAACAAAACAAAATTTTAATGAGGATGACCTCATTTGTGTGTCTGCCCTTCAACAAATCATAGGAGAGACCCAATCAAAATATGCGTGCAATTCATCTTATCATTTAAAACTAAATAACAATTAAATGGTTTTCTTCAGTAACCTCATTCATAGAAGGTTCCTTTTCTTCACTTTTTTCAGCATATTTGCTTGGAGTGTCCTCCTGTTAAAAAAGCACAAGATTGGAAAAAAAAGCATTAAATAGATAGACTACTCACAAACAAGCCAAACTGGTGGAGAGAAAGACAGACCAGATGTTAATATAAAGACAAAGCAGACAGTTGGACAGACAGATAAGGGCAGACACACAAAAAGAATAGAATGCTAGATAGACAAACTTGACTGCTGACAGAGAGACTACACTATGAGACAGTCAGACTGACAGACTAGACTGTCAGACTGAAAGACCACTCTTAGACTCTTCCATGCCTCTCTCACAGTTATACCTTGTAATGCAATTATGAAAAACACTTTGTTTGATTCATTTTAGTTAACTCCTTGATTTTTTCTGTGTAAAATGCATGTAACAGTGTATACACAATGAAGTATTACTAAAAAAAAACAAGAAAGAAAACAGAAACAGTTATATGCATGGACCTCAGAGTCGTCTTGACAATCATTTTCTTCTAATTTCTTGTCTAGTTGTTCCATTTCTTGGCAAATCTGTTGGTTAACCTGCATAACCTGTCTCCAGAGGCCCATTTCAACATACTGATCTGGTGGGGCTAGGGATGGTTTTATTTTTACATCCTGTGCACAAGAAATAAAAATATGATATTAAGTAAATGAAAAATTGTCGAGTACTATGTATATTTAAAGAGTCACTCATTGTATCTGATTAGCGCACTCTAGCTGTGAATCACTAACCACTTAGATGAAGTGTTTATTAATTCAATGTGAGCCTAACTGGGGTCAAAGTGTTGGAGAATTTTGCTTCAGAAACTATGATATTTATCACCACTTCACTTCTCATCATCACCATGAAAGGGTACCCCCTCCTTATAGGAAACTGTGATACTGACCGAGTCTTATAATTCCAAAGAGTAACCAAACCAACTGAAATTATCTTTCACCCTCTACACCCTGACATCAGTATGAACATTCTCCATACTTGTCTGTACTGTTTACTTAAGAATTTGTTCAAAAATCAAGAGCTGCTTTAGTTGGTAATTATTTCCCGTTCTCAAAACCTTCGTGTTGGATTAAGGGGTGATTTTGTAAGGAGAAATTAGATGCTGGTCACTGTTAGGGGTTAAAGGGTTTAATGTGCCAAAACATTGACTGTAACACATCAGTTTTGTCATACATGATCTACATGATATTTTAAAATACAGAAATTGAAATTAAATCATTAACTGAACCTTGAGGAAGACATCCATAGTAATATCCTTCATGAAACTTCTCCCTGTGAGTAATACAGAATGACACCAAAGTTAGACTCTGCTGTCTAGCTCTTGAGCAATGTTGTGATACTTTTTTTTTTGTTAATTTCATTGGTACCGGCTACTTGTCAATTGTACATTAGACCATAGGAAAGATCATAGTCCTAATTTACCACACTTGCTTGGACTAATATTTCAGTTTTAGAAGTCTTAAGCCTTTAACTCCCAAGATCTGATTGTTATTGTCTTCTCCAACTGATACACATTTCCTTAAAAATTGGTTATGAGAATTTGGTGTTCAATCAACTGAAGGTAATATCTTGTACCTGATAAGTTTGAGTAATGTCACTACCTTTTTGCTGAATAATGTATGAATACTGTTGGGAGAAGTTACATGTTTATCACTTCTGGGAGTTGAAGGGTTTATTCAGTCTCTCACTTACTTTATGGACTGTATGTATCTTAGAATCTGTATCTTATAAACAACTGTTCAATTTACATTTAGCAAGAGATAATAAGGGGATGTGTAGGTACAGGCACATGATGTTGCTTATAATTTGTACTGTAGACCTATTGTATCCAGGTTTCAACTAAGATCAAAAGAGAGAACTCACAACACAGTAACAAACTGTGATACCTTTTTCTCAAAATAAATCAGCAGTAAAGGCAAATAAGTCTGATTCTGCTTGTTCTCTTGAAAGTCTTTTAACCAACCCTTTCTATCCACACAGGCACAGTACAGTTGAATACAGAGATAACTCCCATGATCCAACAGTCTAATTCATTATTGATAGTTGTGTATAGTTGCTGTTAGGTTACATGCAAAGTACCTTCATGAAGCTTTTTGAATAAAAAAAAAATTTTTTTAATCAATCCTGAGAGTTTAAAGGATTCCTCTGATATTTTTTTTGCGTATCTGCTGACAAAAAAGAAACAGGAAAAGAATAAAAGATTGCAAGTTAATGGAAACAAGATTAGATATTTCTAACATACTAAGTGTAAATAACACTTGGACATATTCTTCCCTAAATAATAAAATTCCTCTCTTATTAATCTGAGAAAGCAAATGAACAGGCTATCAATCCCAAGAAAATACCCAAAGTATACCTCTGTTGCATTTCAAAAGGCAGTGCCTTGATTTCATCTAAGGGGTTCCACTCTACAATTGTTAAAAATTAAATATAACATTAATAACTAATAAAGGTACAGAAGCATCTCACAATCACTATACTCCAAGGTTCTTTCTAGGGTTAGTGAATGGCAAAATGTTGGACTTGTGAGGTGCTAAAAATCCCTACTTGATGACTCAAGACAGATACTAATGGATTTCATTAAATAAATATAACTCATCAGTGGCTTTGCTTTACTAAAATTCATGGTAATATTATATGTATGAAAAGAAATTCTGTGTCAGAGTTCCACATTACTATCTTACTAATTCACTTTTGCGATATAACAGCACATGGCACATGATATACCTTCTTTTAGTGTCTCCAATACACCACCTTTTGATTCAATTTTTCTGAAAAAATAAGATAAATAAAAAGCACAGTAATAAATGTTGTACTTGGCCCAAAGTACTTACTGAGTCTGATTTGGTCAAACAAATTAAAAAATGGTTAAAAATCCCTGTTGGACGGGAATTTTTATCCTCAGAACTATCTGATTGTTGTTGGTTTAACCCTTTTACTCCCAATAGTGACCAAGACAGAATTTCTCCTTAAAACATCAAAACAATCTCAAGTGAACAAGTAATGGGAATATAGAAAAATATCAATTGGTGGATTATCATTTGATTCAATACCAAATTCTCCAAACTAAAACTATAAGCAGTGTTTGACAGATAGTAGGGAGAATTACTAAAGAGATCATGGGAGTGAAAGGGTTAAGGGGAACCTGGTCTGGCATTTTATTTTTTCAGTTCAATCCTTCACAAGTCAAATTATGTTATGTATCCCAAATCTTTGTAAATGAACCATGAATTATACTTGAATCAAGAATCACAGAGCTGCTGATTAAATAGACCATCATCATGTTTTTATTCTTCACCATAATCTTGTTCTGTACTGTGACATAACATTAACAGATTGTGTGACAAGAACTGAAAGGTTACCTACTTAAGCCTGAGATTATTTCCAGATTGGAACAAGAAGGCAGGAGCGGTCCTTTAACCACAAAGCTTAGTTAAGTACTTCGCAATGTTCTCCTCCCTCTCTTGGCTAGTTTCTGTCATTTATCATTAGGTTTTATTCAATGACCTAAATGAGGTGTCGCATGTATTTACCTTTTCTTTGCGTTATAGAGACCGCCAATTCCGAAGCAAGTGCAAATGCTTTGAATGGCCGATAAAACGTCCGGTGGAACATGTTTATAAGAATCACCTGGTTGGAAAAATTGCAATCAAAACAACACAGTAAACCAATCTTATATTTCAGTATACTTCCGATCAAATGTGATGAGATGTCAAAAAAAATAAAGAAACAAAACTTGCGATATTGTGAATGGACTTTAATAGAAAGTCTTGTGCGATCGTACCGAGCAAGTCTTCCTCGTCCCGTTTGGAGTCTATTTCTTCTTGTTTCCTCTTTTTCTGTTTATTTTCCTTTCTATTCTCGCGCTGCAAATCCTTCGTTCGCTCCATCTTTTAGTGGAACAAAAGGACACGTGTGTATCGCAATGTGGCGCGTGCGTGAGAAATTTAAACCGCTGGTGAATAATTACCCATTAGGGAAGGGAGGATAACGCAAAAAAAAACTTTCCACACTACAAAATAATTTATAAATCAGCTTTGGAAAAAAAAAATGATACTAAACCTCATATTTCATTATATTAAATCTTAAAATTGACTTAAATTAGTTCATTTACATCCTTTCCATGAGTGTTTTGAGTTAAAATTTTGAACTAACTTACCCTACTCTACTTAGTGGAAAATTGATCAAGTGAAGAAAGAATATTCGTGACAGATTGAAGGGAGAATTATGCCACCTGTTATTTCTTGGTGGACCACAATATTTCATTGAAAAGAAAGCGCGGTAAAATTTCAAAACCGTTATGACCTCTGTGGACAATGATTTGCACTGAAAGAGAGAAATTTGCATCGCTAAGACGGTTTTTTGTTGAACGATACGTCTGTGCGTGAGTCGAGTTTCGAATTTCCTGTCACTATAGAATTTCCAATGGGTGGAAAGAATTCAAACATCTGCCATGGATTTATGTGATATAAGGTGAAGAATAAGACGCTAAAGATCAAATATCTGTCTATCAGGTTTTAATTAACGAGCTGAAAGACATTTTGCGTCGCTGGTAGGAAAGTCGGATCTGTGTTGATTTTCGTGTGTTACGCGTTGAAATTATCAACCTCGCCATCTGGTGTTTTTTCTTGATCTTTGACTTCGGAAAAGTTTTGACGATATTAATTGACTTGTTTTAACAAGAATTAGTGATAACAGCATTGCAATGTGCTCTGTAATGGATTTGGCGGGCCTCAATTCATTTCTTAGAAATTCAGCCTAATGCAAGCCAGCAATTGCGATGGATATTCCAAGCTCAAGTTTAAAGTTTAATTGAAAGAAAATGTTCCCTCCACGAAGAAGATGCAGAAAACTGCTGGTCTGGATTGCTCTCGCTGTTGTTGCACAAATAATGTTTACCTTATTCCTGCACGGAGAGTTTAATTTCGCGCCAATCGAGCGCACGAGGACGACAAAGAGAATTACAAGGAGACAGTCACGTCTACGACTTCAGAGTCAAGGTGGCGATCGTTTGGAAGAAGATCATAAGTTTATCGCTCGTTCAAAGCTAGAACATGCTCGTGGTAAGGACGAGGGTACAGAATATGTCGAAAGTTTGGTAGTTAATGAAATTAAATCAACAGATTTTCCGCGAATGTCTGGAAGGAATCTAAAGAACCCTTTGCGTGTCAACAGACGAAATCAATCCATTAACCTCTCAACAGCGATAAGCGGCCTTCAAGTAGTCAAAGAAAGAGAAATATTTGTTGATCAGTCTGCCAGAAAGAAGCCTTATTTTGATCACGACTTGAGAGCAGAAGATCCGAGACGATTACACAACCTCACAGTGCTGGAAGATGTATTTATCTCAATCAAGACAACTGGTGATTACCACGAAGCGCGCGTCACACTCTTGATTGACACATGGTTTCAGAATGCTAAAAAACAGGTGAGATTAGATTGAAAGAGGGTACTAAATGCATTACATAACTCTTCCATCCACGCGAGCCAAATGATGTTACTGTTAACAATTTAATTTTATTTTCTACATCTGTTAACCCGCCCTGATTGGTACCTGCGATAAAATTTTTTTGGCCTTTTCCATTTGAAAATGCTTTCCACAGTCGAATCATCAAATACCCAGTAGATTTTCAAGTGTAAATATTATTCCTTTGAAGAGATACGTTTTTTGTTTTAATAGGTGTGACCTCTGACAAAAACTGCCCTTATTCAGAATTCATAAACATATCTTCTATTCAGCACACGAAATACAATCTTTAGTAACTCAAAACCGATTTCATCTCGGTCATCATGCAAAAATGAAGGTCACCGTGCCAATTTTAATTGGATTTTTTAAAATAAGTCACACGTCTATGATAAGTAAAAAAAAAACAATTTTAGACAGCTTTCATCATTCATTAGAATCGATTATTTTATATTTCCTAAATGAGGCGTTAAACCATGTTTTTAAAGGGACTCATCCATGCCAGCTTCAAACGTCTTGCATTCTCAGACAGGCTGTCCGAGTAATCTTAGAAGCTAGAAGTATTTTGTAGGGAGTAGTGGGCTACTTATGCAGAATTTCACTTAGACGCCAATTAAAGAATATTTTCTCTGGTGTCACCTTTTCTCAAACTCATTAAATGCATTTGACTGGCATTCTATTTGGGGTGATAATTACAAGATTGTTTAATTATTGATAAAGATCAATCAGACAAGCCATCCTCTGCAATTAAGTAAATGGAAAATGAAAATGTTTTGGAAAAGAATATCTGTTTTCAATTAGAATAGCACTTGACATATCTCAAAGAAAACCAAACATGCCAAGTAAATGGGGAAGGAAATTTCAAAATAAATGCAGTTTTTTTTCACATGCTTCATGGATCATTCCTGAAGTTAAAGATTTTGAATTAAAAAGAATTAATTCAAGATCTACTCCAATTATAATGGATATTTGCAATGTGCCTAAATCTTCTTGTTGGTAAATTTTTATATCATATAATCTAATCTGAAAGGAATAATGCCAAGTAAAAATAGTGGATTTCTAATAAGGATGTAAACAATGATTTTCTGAAAATTTGCGAGGACCTAAATGATATTCTCTCCCAGTTTACACATATAAACATCTTCATCTTTTGTAAGAGGGAATTTCCATACTAAATTATCACGTGTGCTGCATGTTGTAAATTTTAGTTTGTTGCTCATTTTTTATCACAAAAAGTTTAATTGCATCTGTTGAAATTGATAGGTAGTGTTGTGGTTGCTTGGAAACCACACAGGTTTAAAAAGAATTTTCCAAATTAATGCAACCAACCAAAGAATATACATGTTCTACAGAAGAATACTTTAGATAGAATATTGACAACTGAACAAGTGTGTATAGTCTTAACCCCAATGAGCAGATTTCTACAACTGTTACAGAGGGATTGACTAAAACATCACAGGCTTGGTGATTTAACCCAAATGATCAAAATTAAATCTACTTTTTTATGGTACAGTTGCAAATAGGTCTTATAAAATATTAAGATTAATTTAGGTTAGAAAAGAATATATGACACAGACAGGTTAATGACATTTTTGGAAGTTCATGCTGATCTATTTCAAGGAGATTTTAAGCATGGCCTTAGTTTGCTTTCTTTCGTTTTGTATCAGTTCAGACTATTACGATATATTTCAATTTGAAAATGAGTCAAAGTTTTAGGAACCTAGTCTAAGACTGGGTGAAGGTCTTTAGAATTTGCCATTGGCTAGGCCTTTCCTTTATGTTAGTGTGAAAGGGTATACTTTTTAGAATCACTCTTTTGTCTTGAAGGTGGGTTTGGATTTTAACTGTAAGGGTGTGAAACTGTGTGAGGTTTTCTTATAGTCAATAGGTTTTTCAATGTAAGTTGTTAAGGGTGCATAAATCACAATTGCTAATATGAATTTTTTTCCACTTTAGACCTTCATCATACATTCTGTAAACAGTTCTTTTAATTTTGTTGTCTTTGCTATTTTACAGGTTCATTTTTTTACTGATCGTGAGGACAATGAATTAAATGAACGTCTGGGTAAGAGGAATGGATAAACTCAAAGTAACTGAAACGCTTTCGTTTTGAGGATTGTAAACTTTTTCAAAAATTTTTACTTGTTAGAGAAGACTACTGACAGTAGCAGAGCACTCAGTTCATGGGAAAAAAACTCAGAGTAACAGAAATGCTTTCGTTTTAAGGATTTTTAACATTTTTCTTGTTGGAGGAGACTTCTGCCAGTAGCAGAGAGCTCAGTTCATGACAAAAGAGGAACGTCTCATAATGAAGGATTATTCGTTTAATTTCAGATATGGAATAATTTTGTGAAATTATGTTGAGGAAAATATTATGAATGAATGCAGTTTTTCATTGCAAAAACTGTCATTCATGGTTTTACAGTGTGGTGTGAAAATTGTATTTTACAACCGGCTTTGTTTGTGGTAAAGTTTTTACCAGTATTTTAGTATTTTACTAGTATTTATTCACGTATTTGATCATTACAGGAGGTCACCTTATCAAGACTGCTTGTGAAACAGGGCACCAAAGGTAATCTCATAGTCATCGTCGTAACAGTTTGTTACCTCAGTCAGATCCAACCGAAAAATATTTTTTCATTCTCGCCTATTTCTGTTTTTTCAGTGATGTACTGTAGCCTCATTTACGTCTTACTCTTTTGTTTTGTGTCATTTGTAGGACGAAACTTTGTTGCAAGATGCAAGCTGAGCTTGATTTCTTTGTAAAAAACTTCAACACAAAGTAAGAATCGTAAGAATCCTACGGAGGCTCATTTTACGAGCTCTGGCTACCTGTGCCTACATTAGCAAGACGTTGAACCAGCGCCGTGATTTTACTTGAATTCGTAACCAGCAAGTCGTGACAAATGGAGCTTGACTAGGACTATTACCCTTCACCCGATACAAGCAGATTCTCCGATCATCTTCGTCTGCCTTGAAACTGACCAGCTTTGTTTAATTTTCTTAAGGAGAAAACCGATCTGACCAGATGCGCGTGGAAATTTTCAAATTTGTATGCTCGCGTAGGGAAGACATGAAGATTTTCTAAGCGTGTGTCATCGTGTCGTCTATTGACGTGCTGATTATTTTTGTTTTCCCTTCTCTCTTTTCCAGGTGGTTCTGCCATTTTGATGACGATAACTACGTCAATGTTCATACACTGGTGAAAACACTAAAAAAATTCAACCCGCTCGAGAATGTGTACCTGGGAAGACCAAGTCTGACGAAAGCGATGGAGGTAATGGTGATGATACGATGGGACCGTTTCCGTATGCATAGCAGATTAAGATATCCCTGATCTGAATCGACTCTCGAATATGGACCCTCAGTATTTATTTGTTCACAGACTTGTGTTCACCTGGAATCGTGAATTTGAATCTTCCCCAGCAATTTCTATTCTTCTTAATTTAAGATGATATACAACGGATTTTTACTCCAATACACCCTCAGAAGTGAACATACAATCACTTTTGACGATTTTTATTTTTTTGTGGAAACTTTATTGTTATTGTTCGAACCTCTAATTTTCGCTTAATCATCAATGGGCGGCAAAAAGTGTTTGGCTTTCGACGTTTATCGTGTTTTTGACGTCATTCCTTATATGGTCATGGTGATGAATCTCATGAAGTCGTAGTTTTGACGTCAGCTGACCGCATGCGATGATTGCAAGCAAATATCCCGTTAGATAAATCAACTTTTTAATGTTCTTTTAAAGACATAACAAGGTAAATTGTGTTGTCCATCACCGTTAATTACTCTTCATGGTAACTGGACCGTCTATTTCCAATCATTAATCACTATCTGTAGAAATCAGTACTTCGTAATGTTTGTCTTGAATGAATAAAAACATAATAATAATAATAATAATAATAATAATAATAATAATAATAATAATAATAATAATAATTTCAACCTTTTTTGTCCTTTTGTTTCAGGCCTGGGACAGATTGGACGGATATAACGTAAGTGTAAAAAATGATAACAAATAATTCAACAACAAAAAAAAACTCATAATGTATTGTATACACGGGCAATAGAACCATCACAGTATTTTTCCATTAATTAACGTACTGCTTTTCTTTTAATTTTTCAGAGAAAGAAATTTTGGTTCGCAACTGGTGGGGCAGGGTTTTGTTTGAGTCATGCCCTGGTGGCAAGAATGAGCCCTCACATCAGGTAAAGCTCTCTTAAGGCCCTCTCTCCTGACGAAGAGCTGTAGACAAACATTTTGTCTTTTCACCCGAGTCAAATGGCTCACACCGCCCGAGCTTGTCCTGGTTTCTAAAACATTAAGTATCTGTTAGTATTACTGCTGCTAATTCATTCAAGTTCACCCTCCCTCCTACATTTTTCAGGCCTCTCTGACAGTTCAGGGTACTCCTTTATAACTGTCAGTCCTGGTGGGGAGAGATACTGTGAGGCAAAAGCGTGACTTTATTGCCTATCAACACAGTGCAACGACTTACACGGTTGTAAAAGTTATTGTTAGATTTATATTAACGTTACTGTCACCTTTCATACCGTCTTGACTCTGAGTTTGCATCTCTGTAGTGATGGCAAGTTTGCAGACAGCTGTGAGCGGGTTAAAGTTCCAGATGACTGCACCATTGGATTTATTAGTGGTGAGTGGGAGAAAAGTAGTTTTGATAGCTGCTGGCTGAGACGTGCAGGGTTGTCGTTAGAAAATGTATAATAGTAATGATACTCTAATCACCCTGAAACGATTATAAAATATTTTGTAACTAACTTTAATAAACACAGACACTGCATCAGGAGCGGGCATCACGTTTATTGGATAAAGCGAGCGTGACATTGTCGTAAAGAAAATACAGCAATGAATAAACACAAAAACAAAGTTGAAAGAGATGCCTTCGAGTGGTTGTTGCATAACTTGGAAAATCTTAAATATCCTAGTAGCCCCCTGGGGTTTCACGACACCAACAAGCACGCCTAAAATGCTTCTACAGTTAACGCGAATCATACATGATGAACATACTTCAGTGTTATTTGCAAAACGTTACAAAAAATATATATTATATCATATGAACTCATTAGGCGGCAGAATTGAATTATATCTTCGTGGCAAGTATGGTGTATTACAAAGCAACACGCTCTTCAAGGGGGATCCAGAGGTATGGTCTCTCCGAGACGTAGTTTCCAGCATTCTGGAACATTTGTAGCCAGCGTAAAATTATCAGACAGCCGGCGGATTTCCGCCGCCAACCGCCTTCTAATGTCAAGACTGCACATGTAGACGTCATGATGACTCGTAAACTTGGGCTAAATTTGTAAACTGTGGCGTGGAAAAGATTTTCATCATCATTATCATTATTATCATCATCAACGCTGACAACAACAATAACGTATTTTTTTCTTGTTGCAATCGATACTGTTTTCACAATTGCTTTTAAGCAGTCACTAATTTATTATCGATGTCTTTCTTCGTCGCAGAATCTCTCCTTAACGTGAGTTTGACGAGACTGAATCTTTTCCATTCTCACCTGGAAAATCTTCCAAGCATACAACAAAACGAAATTAAGGAACAGGTGAGATATTTTTGATTATCAATCGAAAAGTTTCTTGATTGATCAAAATCTAGAACCGGTAACTTGATTTTCAATCTCTAAGGTACAATCAGAATTTATCAGTGCTTTTTAAATTTAATTTTCTTTCTTTCATTTTCAGATTAGTTTTAGTCATGGTTATTTCGGCGGTAGATACAATCGAATCAACATAGCTGGACCGTTTGACACGGAACAGGATCCTACGCGGTAAGACTTGATGGTATGATGAATTAAAGCGCTTTTCGATTGAGTGGCGCAAAACGCAAACCAAAGAGATCATAAAAGCCAATCGTAAAATAGGAATACTCCCCTAAGAGCCAATGAGGACGCAAAGTAAAAACGAGCAAACTGCTAAAAGCGCGGGTAGACGCGAGTTTTAGTTTTGCATTTGATTGGTTGAGAGAATGGCGCGAGTTTTCTCGACCAATCACAGAGCAAAGTGAGGATCATGTCGTTATTGTTATCGCGTACGGGTCAAAATTTTTTATAGTGTATATGCTACTTGTAACTCTTCTCACTTCTTCATTGTTCCCTTGCAGGTTTAAATCCATCCATTGCCTTCTTTATCCGGAGACAGGCTGGTGTCCGAAGTCAGAGGACGTTAATGAACAGAAGAATCGTTCGTTGCAATCCAAGAGATAGCAAAAGCTTCCTCCCTAGAAGAGATTTAAAATTTATTTTAGTTCATTATGATGTTGTATCAGATAGCTAAATTTTGTTCAAATTTTCTATTCGTTCTCTTTTTTAAATTATTCGTACATGACGCGTTTTTACGAGCGTTCACTATGGTTGTATAAAATAGTTCAAAAGAAAATTATTTGTATATTTTGATGCAAGTACAGGTTACGGTGTGACCATCAAATTTGGAAAAGACTCACTTACGACTTTCATGTACAGTTGTTCTTGTTCTTTTTTTGCATGTATATGACGTCTATCACTTTCATTTATCGTTGGAATTAAATGAAGACTCCTTAAAGTTCAATGGTGTTTTTTTTTCATTGCTATGCCAGTAACTGCATCAAGAATGCGAAAACTTCATCTCAATAATCGGGGTTAACAGACAACATTCCCGCTGTTCCAAGGAGAGTATTACACGCCTCCAGAAGCCCCAGTGATGGGCTCCTGACGCCTCTGATGTGAAAATGAGATTGTACCTTTGCGCAAATAAAACTCATTTTCAAAAGATAGACTTTGCGCTCGGCCTCGTTTAATTTTACCACTTTTCTTCTGTCTCTATTATCACCCCCCAGCAGATATTTTACCATATTGATCAGTCGTGGGTTATCTGAATGTGGATTATTCGCGGCTCCATATTTTTCGCGCACGTTTCCTGCGAATTACGGAAGAGGTCTGGGCAAAATATAGGCCTGGTTACTTAGCCAGAACAAGATGGCGGACGAAGATGTCGGTATATCCAGTGTGTGATTTCTTCGGATCCAAATACCGTAATTATGCCTGGGATTTTCAGATTCGGAGTCCTTCCTATGATCAGACAAAATTTCTTGCTAGACAACCAGTTTTCTACATACCAACGATGTAATTTGACGATATGCGCCATAGCAGTCAAAAGAAACCTGTCTTCTTTTCGAGGTGAGCGCGCACAATCGTATGCGGTTGGTTTAACAGTCGGTTTTGGTGGTTGTATTGTTTATATATCAATACGCAGATGAAGTAGTCCCAGAACCTTCTGAGAAACACGATTGTGTCCCAAGTGACAAAGTATTGTTATTTCCAACGCGTCCAAGCAAGCCACCAGATTTCACAGGTTTTCGATAACTAAAGCATATGCACTTGCATATGAAAATGTTGCTAAATTTCTTAGACTTGAATCAAGGGAGGATGCTTTTAGTTTGTTTTGAAAGCGCTCTTCACTGGCTCACTGTACCCCATTCTCTAGCGCCCCCCACCCACCTTCGTTTGTCGTAGTAGTGGGATAGATCCCTGTCTTTTCTTTTCTTTTTCACGTGGATTTTGTGTCTGGGTTGTGGTGTTTCTATCTAGGAGCTGGCTTCAAATTGTGGATGGAAGCCCAGAAAAGTTTTTTTGGTACTTATCCTGGACTTAGTGATTCATGCATTAACATTACGTTTGCTGCGTAATTTTCAGAGAGAAAACGGTTTTATAACAAAGCAGGTATCGAGGAAGCTGAAGGTAACATTTTCATATTCCTCTAACAAGGTTAACTGAATTCAGCAGGTAAAAAAATATTTTTGAATAATTTTTTTATTTTCAACATATAGTATCTAAATAAATATATTATATTCTTCTTTTAGCTGCATTTTTGTGTCATGTTTCCACTGCATCTTCAACTGTGTTCTTTTTTTATTGACTGAAGCCATAGTGTTTGTCAGTCAGGATCTTGTTCCCAAAAGACTCTCCTACATAAATGATGCATAACATCATGAAAAAATACCAAGTCTTAGACTAAATGTGGAATTTTTTTAAATATTTCATTTTGCTAGATATTGTTTCAGCTGACAAAACACTATTTAACAATTGAGAAAACTACAAAAGAATGTTGGTCTGGCTTTGAGTACATGTTCTACTGCCAGCCATTAATGTCTTGACTTTTATTATCCATCAATCTAATGTATAAGTCGTATATCTCTTAAGGTGGTTATCAGATCACAGTGGACAACAAAAAGGTGAAAACACCAGCTGGAAATCTTCTTGTTGTTCTCAGTAAACCTTTGGCCATGGCAGTATCTGTAGAGTGGAATTCACAGGTTGACACCATCAAACCAGCAAATATGCATCTGGTAATTAAACAGCTGTTAATGCTTTGTGCATTATATTTTGTTGTTGTTGTTTAGGCTGATAGGAAGCCTTGTTGTGATAATAATTTATTGCTATTTAAGCAAGAAGGAAGTCATTAACCAGAATTGTAGTGAGGCATCTTAAAAGGGAGGACAAGCCAGTGTTACATAATATACAAGCTCAAGAATCATTCAACAAGCTGACATATTTGATTTATGGTTGGAGTGGGTGGAGAGGGAAGGTAGTAGGCTGGGGGCTATAAGAATGAGAGTCACCCTCTGGGTAATTGTGACTCATTGCAAAACAATATCCACTTGTACATTTACAACTGTATAATTGGTACAGTTTAACCAACTTTTCCCTCATAGTGTATATTATTTTGTTTATATATCTTTGCTTTATTTCTTTTGTTTTGTTTTTTTTATTCTTCATTTACCTGCTGCTACCTGCAACTTAAAATGTACAGGAAGCCTACAAGTTTATTTAGCTCTCTGGTTCACAATGTATCATTACAATCTAAATAATGGTAAAAACATTCTTATTCAATTAAAAATATTGCAAAATAGAATTATTACCGGTATTATTGAATATAATTGATTTCTGTGAATAAAGTGTTTGTCTTGTCTTTTTTCTAGTGTAGCTCATTTTGTTTTTCCATAGACTTCTCTCAGTAACACTGTGATTGACAATCCACGGACAAGAAATCATGATCAGCAAATTTCACACATTTTAGAATTTTTGAGCTCGGACAGTATTTGGTATGCCATAAGAATCTCTGCAATTTTTGTTTACTAATACTTTTAAAGAAGTTATTGTGGTCTTCATATAACATTAATTTAACAGTTGCACAATTGTTTAGTCTGAATCAGTAGTTATTTATCTAAGAAGTAAATAGTACTATGGTACATTATCATTGTTGGCTATCATTCACAATCACTAATTTTTAGAGTGACTGGCATCTAATTTCTCCTTACAATATCACCTCAGAATCACATTTGAAGATCAGATGGTTAGAATAAAGGAAATGATCACAAATTAAAGAAGCTCTTGATTGTGAAACAAATTCTCCTTTCAAAACTATAGGACATCAGTATTGAGAAGAGTATGGAGAATATGCATACTTATGTTGGAGTCTAAAGGATTAATCATGTGATTTCTTCTAAACTCTGCAGCTTTTTTGCGGATGAACCTGAAGAGTTAGTGGATCTACAAAGAAAGGAATGGATACCTATCATGGAATGGTTTAACAACAAGTAAAACAAATTTTGCTGTTATTAATGACTTCGTTATCATGAGCATTGGTCATTACAAACTGTCCCATGGGAAAATTTCTGTTAATTAGCAAAATATGGCATTGTTTTACTGCAGAGTAGTTCTGAAAGGAGAATTTTTTTACAGTGACTGATGTTTTGACAACCTGAGGGGAGGGTATCATTGGAGTTGAGTGAACTACAAAGTTTTTTAATCCACTTGATTGGACCAATAAATCTTTTTCTTGACTCTTAGGATGTCTTCTGCTCAGGTGGTTCAAGAATCACTCCTTCTTAATGATAACAGAGGCTTTCAAGACTACACTTATTCAGATGCTCATACTACATGGTCATATCAATTACTTTGTATCTTTAGATCAACGAATTGATAATAACTGGTAAATGCGTTCTAATTTAGGTACTAATTTGTTATTACCTTTGAAGGTATTCAGTACCTGTTGAACCAAGTCATGGTCTGCTTGCGGCGACCATACCAGACGATGCCGAGGAACGACTAAAGGCTCATCTGACACCACTTGACAGCTGGTCCCTAACCGGTAAGTATGTCGGCGAAGTGACCAAGGATGTCTGCGAAGAGACTGGTATGTCGGCGAGTTGACCAAAGGCGACCGTCGACGAGTTGACCAAAGGTGTTGCGAGAAAAGTAATTGTGTCGGCGAGGTGACCAAAGGTGTCGCGAGAAAACTAATTGTGTCAGCGAGGTGACCAAAGGTGTTGCGAGAAAACTAATTGTGTCGGCGAGGTGACCAAAGGTGTCGCGAGAAAACTAATTGTGTCGGCGAGGTGACCAAAGGTGTCGCGAGAAAACTAATTGTGTTGGCGAGGTGACCAAAGGTGTCGCGAATGGATTAATTGTGTTGACGAGCTGGTGGTCGGCGAAGTGACCCGGTACCCCGACAACAGTCCTTTTCAGGACTACTCGCACCTGAACGATCAAATTTCATGGTCCAATAAAATCACATGTAACTGTTAAACTCGTGGTCATCCAGACATCTTCAGGGGTCGATTAATAGTTTTCATACTCACTTAAAGTTTTTGCATCATTTTGAGAAATCAGTGTCAAATGTAGCGGGAAATCTCTAGCGCACGATGTTGAATATTATTTCTAAAACTTGTTCTCTTTATTCGACAGGCCTCGAATTTGCTGTGGAAACATTGAAGTCGTTTATTCTTACAATGGCACTCATCGAAAATCACCTCACAGTGGAAAAAGCTGTTCATTTGTCCAGACTAGAGCTAGAATTTCAGGTCTGTTGTTTCACCATTATTCGTCATTGATTGCTGGAATGGACTACTCACTCGTGTTACTTAAATCAATCGTATTTACTCATTAAACTACAAGAAAGTAGTGTACATTTGGTGGGAACAATTAGTTATGCTTTAGACTATAATAAGGTGCAGGGTAGTGAAATGTGAAGGAATGCACTGTTTGGTAATGTGTCTCAAAAGAAACAACTTACTACAATTCTATAATATTCTGATGAAAGGGCGCTGCATTTAAACAGGAGCGCTGGGGCAAACGGTAATCCATGATTTTTGCAGCTACATTTTTCTCCTTCAAATTTGACTCATGGTAGGGAAGACAAGCGGGGGCGGAGGAGGGGACGAAGGATTGGGAATGCGAACGTTTCTTCCCCAAAAAATCCTTATGTTTCGCCTGTCATGCGAGGCAAACATATTTACTTATTTCTTAATCTCATTGTGCGCCCTTGCGCCCTTAGTTTCTTCAAACCGAGCTTCTGGCGCAAGCGGAGAAAAAATCCTTGTAAAAGTGTAGGAAAGCATCACCCTTGCCCTCGATTTTGTTTTTCTTTGGTATGGTTTTGGAATTGAAGTGTGCACTCGGTTATTACAAACTGTGTTTTTCTTCTTTACTGCAGATAAGCCGGTGGGGTAGTGTGGAATGGGCGCACGATCTGGAGTTGATGGAGACCAGGAGTAGGGTGGCTGCCGCTGTTTTGTTTTACAGTCTAAATAACAGACGTAGAACTTTACCATCAAGTTCATAATCATCTCTCTTTCTAGAGCATCAACATATTTTGCTCCTCTTGATGTGTGTCGACAGTGCTTAAGACTCCTTTGTAGGATCCGGACCGCGTCAGGATAACTTTCTAACCGAAAAAAATGGTATTTTTACGGCCGGAAAATGTACTAGAAATTGAAAGAGCTTGTTAGTTTTGTTACTTGTTAGTTAGAGTATCCATGGTTAATGTAATCCATATTTAATAGTTTGAAACCTTACTGTTGAGTTTTTTTCTTTGAAATTCCTTTTGAGCCTTACAGCTAACTGATTTCTATTTTTTTCCTTAAAATTTTCAGATCGACCTTTTACATTTACGAGCAAGCAAAAAAAAATCATACAAAATATTTAATCGCACATAGTATGTCTAACTGACTCATTAAAATCCCATCTAACAAATGTTCTGAGTCAACTTTGATAGGTCACACTTTGCTTTTTCACGTGTAGTTTTCATCCGTCACTGTTTGTTATAGGATTCAGATGTGTATACCTGGTCATCCTTGAAGATTGATCCAACATTAATTTACCTAAGAGAGATAGGCTGGGCTTTACGTCAACGGGAACGGATCGGGTAACGTTATCAGAATTTTTACCTGGGAACTGAAAACAAAATTTCAGGAAACTGTCCTCTTTCTATATCGGTTCCATTAGAGTTTTCTGCCGAACAACGAAATGTAAATCGCACTCCCTGGCACTTCACTGATGTTTGCCCTTGATGATAGACTTTATCTTATACTCTTTATTTGCCTTCAAAATAATTGGACGATCGAACAACACATCAAAGCCGTAATAAGTACTAGTATAGCTTTTCTTTGAGACATAATTTCCTCCTCGACTCACAAGCAAATTGTTGTCAAGGGGATCAATAATGTCTGTCTTAACTGTATACTCTTCGCGTTCGGAGCCAAAATGTTGAACTCCGTGTAAAATAATAGGTTTGTTGACGGTGAGAAGGATACAGTCAGGGCCGTTGTAATTATAAATCCAGCCTGAGAGAAACGTCTTAAACCTCTGACATCGTTGCTTAGAGAAAATACCTCTACAGGCTTGTACGAACTGTAAAGGATTATTCAAAAAATTGTTGTAGTGTTTTATCAAGTTGCAGAATTCTTCATGATTCAAGAGATGAGAGTCAAATACGACAGATGCAAAATCTTTCTCTTCCATCAACGGAAACCGTATTCCGTTAACAATATCTTCTCCAAGAATTTGTCTCTTTGTCCTTCCATCGGAGGTCATCCCTTGCCTTTCACATTCTTTTATGGCCCAACGATCAACAGCTTTGAACAGTTCCACTTCCCTCACATTCAACACTTCTCTCTTTACAACAGATTCAACAACAGACCGATCAACTGCAACAAATTCGTCTGACGTCACAGCTTCTTCTGTCTGCTCTTCAATCACTTTCCAGCATCGATCTTTCAAATCTTTATCTTCAAATATCTGTGCGTGCGGCAGAATTAAAAACACATTCGATGCTTTCAGGTTGTCTCGAAGATATTCTGTACATTTCTTAGCGAGTGAGGGTACTATGTACTTGTTCGCTAAGTACAACACTTGCATCACGTTATTTCCGCTTAAATTTACTTTGTCGCTGTACAAGAAACGAAATAACTCCAACAGACTCTCGTACTCACAGTCAGGCAGTTCAATAGGGTCTTTAGTCTCCGCCATACGACCATAGAACATGGCGAAGAACACAGGACTATTAATGGCGAGCACAAACTTGTGAGCTGGGATCGCCTTCTTACTTTCACCTCCGCCATTCGGGAGTGAAACAACAAATTTTACATCGCTGAGTAACTCGTTGTTAAATATAAACGCGGTTTTCTCTACCGTAGTTGATAGTTTCGTCTGCCAGTTCTCTTCAGCCGCCATCACTTTGTTTCACCCTCTCTTAACAGATGTCTGCCGATACAGTGAAGATATAGTGAGCTTACTTTGTGCAAATATTATGGAAAGCGAAATCTGAGTTTGCTACCGCTGACTTGTCGTCACAACAGGCTCACTTGCTTAATTGCTCACTTTTGTCACTCAAACTAAGTGAATGAACATTCACGGCGTGAACGTTTTGTGTTTTAAAGACCTCAATCCGATTTTTGCTTTTGATCTCATCTGCTTCTTCCAGGTGAATTTTATTAAAACTTGCAGAATTTTAATCTGACAAAAGCAAAGTCTTATCGAATTACCAGCCGCTAGAGAAGTGATAGCGGGGCTAATGAAGGACGGTGTGAATGACAGAAAGGAAAGGATAGTTTAACGATGAAATTCACACGGTCTCTTTACTGCTACCGTCTCTCTCTTCAAGTGTACCCATTTTCAACCAGCACCAAACCTTGAATTGACGTCCAGAATGTAAATGTTGTGATAACGATCCGTCAGCTTTAGAAACTCTCAGTACGGTGGCTAATTTACATAATAAACCCAGTTGGTAAAACCAAATTTTCTTTGTAATACCCCGCTTCCCACCCACCATTTTGATCGACTTTGACGGTACTGCGAGGAGCTTCCAGGAGGAGCGTAACTTTACTCAAACTCGCCTCGTGCGTCAGAGGGTGGAATGGACACTAATCGCATAGAACCTTGTCAGTAAGTTGCATTTACATAAACGGACTTGAGACAAACTGAAGGTAAAGTAAAATAAAACTTTGAAAGCTCCTTAGCTTCCATGGGCCATTACACAATGCCACGAGAAATTCATCATTGACTCACGATTATTGGTTAGAATTGTTGCTGCGAAATACCACTCTGAGACAAAAATTTCGTTTGGTTTAGAGTCCAAGAAAGGAAGAAACAAGATTTGCTACACTTGTAAATTAGATTTTGTTAAGAGAGACGACTTGTTAAAATTGTGGGGTTCGGAGCTTTGAGTGAGAAATTAGTACAATTAAAGCTTATAAACAACCCATAAGTCTTGGAGTGTTGATTAAAGGACAAGTAAGCTTTCACTTTCAAACACAAAGAGGATTTGCGGATTAACAGCACTTATAAATAAGTAAGAAAATCAAACTGAGTTTATTCCTTAGAAAAAAGATCTCACCTTCAACAAAAAAGTACTCATACATAAATTACTGACGACGGACAAATCAAGAAAACAGCTGCCATTGGAAACACGAAAATCGCATTTCCAGCAAACATGTTATACCATCATTGAAGAGGACCTGTCGGCCTAAATAAATCCATTTTCTTAAAAATTGGCTGCCACTAATTCGGCGATGAATTCCAAAATCGTTTGCCTTTTCATCTTGCTTCAAGAAAAAGTAAACGTTTCGGTTTGCACCGCCATCGGAAATAGTCCAATCTCTTTTTCTTCTTATTTTATGGTAAAAGAAAACTTGTGGCTTGAAGACAAAATCATTGAACAGCTCGAGTCTCCTGATATAGTCTCATGCAACCGGTTATGTATGAAAACGGCCTGGTGCACTTCAGCAAATTACAAAATGCCAACGTCGCAAGAGGGCATGGGAACCTGTGAACTGAATAGGCACGGCGCCATCGATATGAACACACGAAATCTTCGGAAGCAACAAGGAGCCACTTTTTCTTTGCTTTTGAAGGTAAAGTGTCAAAATTACTTTTTACTTTTCAGCTTGTTAAAAGCCTGTTCTTTTAAATGCGTCATGTGGAAAAGGACGTTACAATAGCAAGAAAAATGTGACTTCATTGATGTGTGCTTTTAAAACTGGGATTGGTTTGGAGAGAAGAGATAAGCACTTTAAAAGAGTCACAGCCGCAGATCAGCGTTGTAAAATTCTTTGTCTCAAACTTTTTTAATTTTCAGGGTTGTTTGCGGACTGGGTGTCTCAATGGTGGCTCGTGTATTTATTGCGAAAACTCATATGCATGTTCGTGCAAAGAACCGCAGACTGAAGAAAAGAAAGGAAGGACATTTGGTAAAGGAAATTTTATTGTTTGTTTACTGAAATACCCGTTTCCAGAATAGCCGTCGTTAAAGTTTTGGCAGTCCTCTGACGTGCCAAAATCTGACCGCGAATATCTCAGCCAAAAGTGTTTAAGTTAATCAAGTATTTACGTATTGTGGTGCTTTACTGAGTGAGGATCTTAATCGTTAAGCGTAAACTTGACAAAATCGAACCGTTGATTGTTAAAAAAAAGTTGATTTTCAAAATTTTGCATTAAGTTAGAATGGACAGAATTTAAACGTTAGCCTAAAACGGCCAAATTTTTAGCCGTTAGCCGTAAAAGCCATAACTCTATCAAGACTCACTTTAAACTACTGATATGAAAATGACAATTTTTGTAAAATGTGGAATTCTATTTATAACAATTAGTTGGAATTAGTGTTTTGTAGCTGTCCCTTTCGCCTTAATTAAACGACCACGATTAAGGTGTCAGAAAATTTTTAAGCGTTAGACTGTCTTATTAAAGCGCTTGAAAGAGGATAAGAGTGGGAACAGATTCAATAGGTATTGAATTTTTAATATCGGTGCTGTTCATGTTTTTCAATGCAGTCATATGGTAAAGTTTTAAGTATCGCCTTTCGAGGATTTTGGGTTAAAAATAATTCACACCATTTAAGCAGTCTAATAACTGTTGTAATCATAAAAATTTGTAAAATAAATAAAAGATTGTGATTAGTTAAAAAAAAACTCCTATTTTCCACTTATTTACTTGCCAAGTTGTTATCAGAAAGTTTGTTAACAGACAGTTCAATAAGCCAATCACATTCAAAAGTTTTAGTTTAAAGAAACCAATCACAACTTTGGTTTCAATCACCATAGAAACAGTGTCCAGATTCCGAAATTGAGGCTTTCTTCAAATTGGAGAATTTTTTTCTTTTTTCAGTCTTTCAATGTAAATTTTCCTCTTCTTTCATAACTTAGCTACTCTTCTTTTCTCAAAATTTATAATTTTTTTATAATTAATTTTGTGTCTTCCAATTCGGTCCGTAATCATACCCGTTAACGCTGCGCGGTCGTCCGATTTTGAGTATCACTCATATGACTACACACCGTATTGGACTACACTCAATCCTATTACCATTACTAACTGTGCTATGCACCTAGTCCCTTATACCGTTACATACACTGAGCCTGCTGATGTGAAAGTGCGCTGGGAAACATGCGCGCCGGCTCAATCAAGTCACTGAAGGAACTGCATGGATAGAGAGCGTGAATTTTAGTCTTTCATAGTCCTAAATGCAACGCAAAAAATTCAGGATAACATTACAACTTACTACCGTTACTATCGCTGTCGGATGGCAAAGCTTTCTCAACTCGAGGTGTATCTTCCATTCTAACTTGCTTGAGGCCTTTTTTTTTTTTTAACACTCGAGGAGTAGGTTGGGAGTCAAATAGGCCTGCTAATTCCTGCAAGCACATACGGGACGCTGGAGACTCCAGAGGAGACGGGGAATACTGGATCGACCCTGAGAACAAAGGAAGCCCTTTGAAGGTCTATTGCGACATGACAACTGATGGAGGTGAGCGACAGATGTATTTTGAGGCACTTTTTAGCTCGTGTTGAACGGGTGAGAGATATGAAATAAACCCCTCTTTTGGCGTGCCTTGACATCAACGATTAATTGGAATTCTATTGTTTGAGCATCTTAAACAAAACAACATGGTCCTCAGACTAACGATATGTAGTAAGCGCCAGGGAAAAGAAATGTACCGGCTTCCGCTCGCCTCTCATATACCTCTCAAATACCTCTGTGCAGTAAGCGAATCGATCGGAAAAAAATCGTACTTAATTTTTCCGGTTTGCATCTAATCATAAAAGTTGTTTTCCTCACATACTTTTTCAAAACTCTTTTCCTTACTAGCTATGAGCATAAAAGATATCCAATTAAAGGCAGCGGGGTCGAGAATACCAAGCACTTGCCCAACGTATGTCGTAGCGTCTTTTTCCCCACCGATGCCATCTTCAAACATTTACATACTACAAACTTATTCGAATTTTTTCACAAACTGAGCATATCTTCGCTCGATTAAAATATATCTCAATTGTTCAAGACCGGAGGCGTACACGTTCTTTTGATAAGCTAAGTTGTATTTCTTTGCTGTTTCAGGAGGCTGGCTTCTCGTTTCCAACCTTGTGATGGCCAACTCAAGTCGGTCTGTTCCGCTGTTGGTTGAGTGGTCGTACCATGCTATCAGCCAATATCACAGGAACAACATGTTTCTGGCAAAAACGGCCATGAATGAGCTCAGAACATACTTGAATTTTACTCAGCTGAGATTCCATTGCAGCAAACGATCGAAGCGTACGTTCCACGTGACCACAGCCACCAATAGCATCGGAGAAGCTGTGGTCCAGTACTTTAGCGGTCAGACAGATGCGCGACCAAACTCGTGTAAATCTTTTGTCAGAATGGAAGACGACAACTCAAAATTAGCCAAGGTCTGCCGACAGTGGGGGTCTAAGGACTCTAGAAAGCGCTACGTTGGTAAATGGAGCTCATGTAATCGCAATGACAACAGATTGTACGATCATACTGTAATCGTCTGGTGGACCTATCACTGGAATATTCGGCCATCACAACGACGATTTGACTGCGACGATTTTGCACATACAGTGTCTGCCGGTGATTTCTGGAAAGTTTTTGTACGTTAGAAATTTTGGGTATATTAGAAGTATTATTATTATTCAGAAGTCTTGTTTCAAAGTATTTAATCTTACTTAACATCGCTGTAGAGCAGTGTTCAATTGAGTATTGCTTTGGTTTTACTTTACTTCGCTCTGTGATTGGTCCAGAAAACTGGCGCCTCCATCTCAACCAATCAAATACAAAACTAAAACCAACCTCAACTAGGTAACTCGCGTTTTCGCGCGCGTCCAGCAGGTTGCCTGCTTTTACTTCGAGTTCTCATCGGTTAATGATAATGTTGGCCTTTGTTCTGATTGATAGTTGTGATTACGTTGGTTTTGGTTTTTTTGGCTGCTCTGTTAGTCATAAGAATTTACTTTAACCTCACTGAGTTTTTAAAGTTTCCCCTGTCTCAGTTCCTCAACGCCAGGCTACCAAGTCACTGAATATTAATCTCGTAGTCCGGCTGATCGTCAGGCAAATAATCATCTCTGAGTTGATTTTACATGTCTTGTATTACCTAAGTAATACCTTTCTAATATAACATAAAGCATTAGAACTTTTAGCATTGTAACATTTACAGCAGTGCAAATAAAGTGCCCATACAAGAGGGAAAGTATGACACCTTGTGTGAAGTGGTCTCTACCCAAAGTGCTTTCTGAGATCATCTTCTGTAAAAATCGTATTAAATGGACACTGAGATCAAATTGAGCTTGCGTTTGAACACAAAACCCGTCCAGCTTAAATGGAAACTTTAAGGACTTGCTAAGTTTTTGAATTGTGGGAATTCTGCACAGTTTTAAAACCTTCATAATTTCACGATACTAATTAACTATTGATAAGATGTGAAGATAAGTAGTGATCCTAACAAAACACACTTACTTCGCCTCCAGCGACACCTGCTATTATAATTCTCCAAAAAGTGTCGCAATTGTTTCTTGCTTGCGGGGTTTCGCAATACGTTTTATGTTTTTGACAGAACTTTAGGTGTTGTCAAAGCTAGGTTGTTTGGGTTTATTAGGAAACGGTCAAGAATCGTTTGTGAACGCTTGTTTTCTTGCTTGCATTTACGAATTCAGCTCATGTAGAAACTATGTACGGCATACAGGTGTCGTTTTTTATTCTACTCGAAGCCTTTGTTGTCGTGACAGGATTTTCTCACTCCGCATATTTCACAACACGAGAAAATAAGCGCCTCATAGGTCATCGTATTAAACAAGTCGATTCTATCAGTTTGAAGTCGTGCAGCCAGTTTTGCTTGAGACATCCATGGTGCACTTCAACAAACTTCCAAATATCAACCAAGATGAACGGCAAAGAAACTTGTGAATTGAACATGCACGGAGTTATCGACGAAAACAATGATCATTTCCATGATCAAGAAGGAGTAACTTTCTCTCTGATGTTAAAGGTAAATATTGTTTCGTCGATGAAATAGGCATTACAGCCAGCACATACAAACTTATAGACCACACGTGAACGGAGCCTTTCAGGGCCAAGGTCTTTCACACTAAAACAACGCATCCTTCCAGGCGTGTTATAATTAGAGAGTACAATAGCCAGTGACAAGGCCTCCTACATTTTCAAACATCTGCAAGATTCTGAACATTGTTGTGCTTTGTGTTCAACAGATAGCTTCCACGTTTTGGATCACGCCTCTCCCGGTTTTAACTCAAGATAAAAGAGGCTATTCATATTCAAAGAGAACAACCCTCTTTGAATCAACAATTACACCTTGTAAATCTAAAACTATCCTTTTAATCCTCACACTTTCATGCTTTGCCTCTATTCTTGTTGTCAACATTTATCATAATTAGCTTTTTTCTACTTATTAGAATTCAACTTTCAACGCCTTGTCCATTAATTAACTGAAGATGACAGACGTTTCTGTCGAAACATGTTTTACAAACTTAAAAGTTTTGTCGTTTTCTTCAAATTTTAAAAGTAGTAATTGGTTATAAAAATCTTTCCTCAGTGAAATGTGGTACCTTGGTCAGTTATAAAATTAATAATCCATGTATCAGTTGCTTGGGCTTACCTTGACCCAGAAATATATTGGGAAAAGATAATTTAACTCATTCAAACGAAACCTACAAGAGTTATTCTAAGGCCAGTCGCTTTGTAATTTTTTTTCATCAAATTTGTTATATTTGATTTTTTAGGAGGTTTTTTTTAGCTTGAGGAGCAGTACTTATTATATAGAAACTTTTTGTAATTGTGCTGCCTTTGGAACTTACTTTTTGTCAGTGGGAGATGCATGCGTCTTCCGTTTTTGCTTTACTTTTGACAAGATATTTGCGCTCATCCCAAAGTTTTCATTTTTTCAGGGATGTTTGTTGACCGGCTGTCTTAATGGTGGCTTCTGTGTGTTTGACAAAAAGGAAAACCTGTTCTCATGTTCGTGCAAAATACCGTGGACGGGAAAAAAATGTGAAAATAAAAACGGTAAGATTTGTTTTACTTCTTTAAGTTGAAAAGGTCGGACCATTGTGATCAGGAAAACTTTACCGCTGTTAGTGATAAAAATGTAGTTTTAAGTTTAGAAGTACCTCAGGTTACCGACCATTAATTTGGCAGTTTTGGTATTGCGCTAATTAAAGATTCAGTCCTCAATGAACGAAAAGCAGCTGTAAGGTAAAATCTATCGATGGCTATGAAAGACGCGCACAATTAAGAGTAGGCTTGTTCCTAGCTAGAATTGTCAACCATTATTCGTATTACTCAACAAAGTAAGGAAGAAAAGACGAGAAAAACTGCACTTTTTCCTTCTTTCATGTTTTTAATCATAGCGAATTAATGCATACATTTGCCTCAGACCCGTGATGCCAACGCTGTTTTCATTCGAATCACATTTGGCAAGTGCTTATTTCCTTCCAAAATGCTCTCATTTTTCAAGTGAAGGTATTTCTAAAAATTTAAAACATTTTAAAAAAGCACTGAGCGAAAAGCAGCTGTAAGGTAAAATCTGTCGATGGCTATGAATGACCCGCACAATTAAGAGTAAGCTTGCTCCCTGGCTCGAATTGTTAACCATTATTCGTATTGCTTGAAAACAATTGGAAAGTAAAGAAGGAAAGATGAGAAATGCCGAACTTTTTCCTTCTTTGGTTTTTTTAATGATAGCGAATTAGCGCATATTTTTGCCTTATACCCGTGATGCCAACTGATGCAAAAATTTTTCTTCTCGGCGCTATTTTCACTCAAAACTCATTTGGGAAGTGCTTATTTCATTCCAAAATGCTCTCATTTTTTATGGTATTTCTAAAAATTTTAAATTTTCGGATCTCCAGCAAGTAACCATTTGTGGTTTTAGCGACATATCTTATGGGGGATTGAAATCATTGGAACTGAAACTGTTATTATTTTGTCGTAGTAAGGCTAAAAAGATTATATGATTATGTGTTATTTTTCTTGTTTTGTTTGTTTATTTTTTACGTAACTAAAGGAATAGGCTGGATTTATCGTTATCCTGCTCTTTCATGCAAGAACATCCGGGACGTGGGAGACTCCAAAGGAGACGGGGAATACTGGAACGACCCTGCAAAGAATGGAAAGCCATTCAAAGTATACTGTGACATGACAACTGATGGAGGTTTGCTATCAAGGAGAAAATAACTTGTGATTAGTTTGAGTAAAGCTAAATTTCTTTTTCCTTCTCTTCATGGATAAAATTTTTTTTCGCAATTGTGTCATGGGCTTACAGAATCGAGGGAACAAAATAGCCCGATATTTCGCCAAATTGAAACAAATTGTTTCATAGACCAATTTTGATCTTAAATACGGCTACTTCTATTGAATTTGAAAAAGAAATTTCATCTTTGTCATTTTTCGTTAAAAACAGAAAATACAAAAAATGAGATAGAAATACAGAAAAAGATGAACAATTGAATAAAACCAACAGGATAATAGACAATATCTCTTTGGTTTTCAGGTGGGTGGCTTCTCATTTCCAACATCGTTAAGGGCGCCTTACCTATTCAACCCTCCCTCAAGGGGTCTTACGATGAAGTTAGCCTCTACAATGAAGGAAACATTGTTCTCAACAGAAGCGCCATGAAAGAACTCAGGTCGAATGTGTCCTTTACTCAGCTGCGATTCTTCTGTAGTAAACAACAGGGACGTACGTTCCACGTGACCACGACCGCTAACAGTACCGGTGAAGCTGTTGTCCAGTACTTTAGCGGTCAGACGGATGCGCGACCGGATGCCTGTGGCTCGTTTGTGAGGATGGAAGATGATAACTCAGCTATGTCACAAGTCTGCAAAGAGTGGGGGGGTAACTCTACCAATACGTTCACAAACAAATGGGGTGACCGCACTCAAGACTATGAAAAGCGGCTGTATCGTCAGGTGGTTCTCGTCTGGTCCAAATATCATTGGCTGCTTTCACCAGAAAGTAAGAGATTCGAATGCGATGATTATAACGGCAATGTTTCGACAGGTGGTTTTTGGAAGATATATGTACGTTGAGGACTCCATCAATGAAATTATTGCTTTTGTCTCACACGCAAAAATGAAACTTTACATGTAATACTTATTGCGATAATTGTAGTGCAAACAGCTTCCTCATATTCTTTCTTTCACTGCTGTATTAGACTTCAATGAGATTGTAACAGACTATACATAGATAATCGCTTTGCTGTTTTGTATTAAGGGAAAACCATGTCCCATTATTTTCTCTTGTCTTTATCTAATCTCGGTTTTGGCGCCATTACGATGTCAAATACTTTTTAGGTAATTTTGATGGAACTGAGTGGAGTTCGATTCGGTTTGTAATCATACGAGTGATACAGGAAGTCTTACTAGCAAATAATCATAAAAATTCCAATTTCCCAGAAAAAGAAGAATGCCAAGTTATGAAAGAAAGGGTAAATTTACATTAAAAGACTAACAACCAAGGTTGAGATCGGTGGATTTAAACTACAACTTTGAATGTGATTGGCTTACTAAACTGTCCGATGGCAAACTTTCCGATAACAACTTGGCAAGTGAATTAGTGGAAAATAAGAGTTTTTTAAACCAATCACAATCGAGGAAATTGTAATTTTTATGATTAAGAGATAAATCTGGTGAAATGAGAGACGAAGGAGCCGGGTCAACGAAAGTCTACTTTACATCAGCTTTTTTTCCCTTAAAAATACCCCTTTGCGCGCTATATTGGGGCACACATTTGCCGCCAGATATAACGATGTTGCTTCTCCAATTTGATTTAAGGATCATCGATTTTTTTTAGTGAGTTAGTTAGACTGAGCACTTGCTCTTTCCAAGGGAGCTTAGAAAATCACAGAGATTAAGAGAACGAATTTTGTGATTTAAGATATTAGATTGATAGTCTAAAAGTCTACAGTTAATAGCTGGAGACAGGTTTCTTTCTAATTGATGACTTCTTGACCAATTGGCTTCCTTGTTGGGTGGTAAAGCTATCCTAATGTGCTCTCTAAGGTCACAGTGAGATTAGTTGCCGACCTGAATTTGCCGTCGCGATTCCTTACGGCAAATACTTATTCCGTTTTATTTCAATGTATCTAAGATAAACAGGGTACAGGTGGCTTTGATTATCGTCCTCCAAGCCTTTGATCCCTTGTTAAAATCCTTCCCCCCCCCCCATCCAACGACTGAGGCCCAGAAAAGCCATAATGTTTGTCTTCAATTATTACAGTACGTGACCCCAGAGAAATTAGCAGTAATATTATAAGCAGAACATTGTTATTAAAGCTGGGTAGTTCAAACATTGAAAAGCTATATATGCAACAAATGAATTGATCACTAAGGATTTTAATACAAGAAAAACCAGAGAGACTGAAGAGCTGTGAATCTTTCATTTACTCCTATTTAATATAATAGACAGTAAAACAAAGTTTTACCCGCATTTGTTTTTTGTGAAAACGGCGTACCCCTTAGTGATCTTAAGTGGTCTTTAATGACCCATGAAATACCCAGTGTGTTTAGATGAACGTGACATTGAAGAAGTGTAGGTTGTGTTTGTTTGTTCCTGTTTATGTTCCCTAGAGTAAAAGATTTATTTTTGTGCGGTTTTCTGTATATGTTTATTTTTCCACCCCCTCGGTATTTTATCACTGTTACCTAATTTCACGTTTATATCGGTCGGCCACGAGCATAGCGAGAAATTCTTTCTTGTTCACTCGGGCAAGATGTTTTTTCCACTCTAGTCATGGCATGGTTTCTGAATCACACGATTCCTGTAGAAATTGCAAAACTTGTTATTCGGTAATAATGTTTAATTAACTTTTAAAAGGATGGTTTTGCGAGAATCTTGTTACGTCTAGTTATATGTTGGATAATAACAGGGATTGCTTTCTTCTCTGTTATTATGGGTAGGTAGATAGTTCTGTTGTACGTGGATTACCATTAAAATGACTTGATTTCAATCTGTTTTGATTCACTTCAAATAATAAAGGTCGTCAGCAACATACCCAAGAAAATATTTGATCGGCCTAAATCCTCCCTCGTGGACAAATATTTCTCCAGCCTACCAAAAAGTTTATGTGTTCAAAGATGGACAATGACGCTCAATTTTAAGGAAGGGTGTTTTCAAAACGTGAATGATCTTTTCAAGTATGCCAACTTCGCCACTTTGTTTCAAATCGGTTTATAAGTTAGACACTTAGATCGTGATCAGTGAAATGGAATGACAACACCCACGTGCTGACATGACGTCACGCCATGGAATTCTTTTCACGTCACTTTGTTTTCATTGCCAATCCGTCGCTTCCGTATATTGACAAAAACATTATGAAAGGTCCTCGATGGGTTATTTATCTTTAGACAATTCCAAGTAGAGACGACAAGAGTGATAGAGATATTTTTTTACAAGCAAATTATACCAACAACTCAAAGACTATGAGCACAAATAGCTACGACGAAGAAGCTTCTATCCTTCTGTCAAAGAACATCACAAAATCTTTACTTGTGAAGAATGCTCTCGACTTAGAGGCGTTAAAGAAACGGGCTCGACTGCTAGAGAAAGAGAAGAATTCAGAAGCGAGATTATTCCTCAAGAAAAAGGAGATTCTTTTAAAACGACAGGCGACTAGAAACTCTGGGACCCTTTCGAGTCAACGACCTTTGTCCTCTAGAAGTTTGATTCCGCCAGAATCGAATGTCAGTCGATGGAAAAGTGACACAGACTTGAACAGAGAATTATCTCTCGGAGCGCGAACGCAAGATATGAATGAAAAAAGCGGGAGGCAGAAGTTGCTATCGCCCTGGCTTCCCTTGCTTTCTGAAGGAGCCAAAAGAAGGAGCGGAACATTCTCTTCACTGGATCAGTATGAAAGTACTTCGACTTCTCTTCCAGATATACATGGAGGTTCAATTGGAAAAACGAAATTAAAGAAATACAGTGACACAAACCCACCACGGCCAGTTTCTTCTCAGGGCAAAAAGAAGACTGAAGTCTCCACCTCTGTTATTGACGACTGGCAAGATTTGCGAAAGATTAGATATTTGCGCAGGTAACCACGATCAAAGGCAAAAAAATGTAACTATGATCCGCGTGTCGCCCATCAGCGAAAAAAACTACATTAGGCTCTGATTTGATTGGTCACTGGTGTGTGTGATCTGAGACTCTTGGTGGACGCTTCGCGCGCTTCGAGGTTCTTTTTGTAAGAAGTTTCCCAACCCAAGCTACGTACGTACGTGACTTGTTGGTAAAACGAAGGGCGGTGGTAAACGCACGCGATAGTAACGGAAGAGTCGAAAACTAAGGAACTACTCCTTCACCACTATCGTGCTTGTAACTTTATATTTCCCTACTTATTATGCCTGGGATAGCTACAAACTTCGTGGTTCAGATGAGTAGAATACGATCTTAGCTCTCATGGAATCTCACATTGGGATGTCAACAACAAAGCTCAGTTTATTTATTTTTGTAGTAATGATGACCTTCGGAAAGATCTGCTTTCCGTTTTTTCCTTCTTTAATATTACAAAAAACGAGAAAACGATGAGAGTGTTCAAGTGAATTTTCTCATTATACGGCTATATGTATTCGTTCATACGATGGTTATAAATTTATTCAAAGTACATTATAGAAAATTTTTGTGACACTGTAAATAACACAAATAAAGATATGTAACATATTCATTTTACATTCTCGTCGTACTGTCACGTTTATGTCCTCAGTTAATACCTCTTCCTGTCACTGACTGAAATAAGCCACAAAAATTCAAGTTCTTCAAGTTGGAACTTCCTCCTGAAGGCGTTAAGAGGTTAAAAGAAGAAGCCTAGCAAGAATATTAAATGAAGTTACTCATGTGTAAACATCACAAGCGTTTCGTGATCATACCGCCCTTTTTTACATGTGTTCTTTTGACATTTTGGTTTTAAACGTTTTGCTCTGTCGAATGACCTAGACCCTGGTTGACCTTTTGGTAGTTGGTACCCTCTATCTTTTTTTTTTTTTTTTTCAATTTTTTCTTCAATTTTTATTGAAGTTCGTGACCTTTCTGAAATTAACAACATGCACACCTTAGCAGTACCTTCACAATGGATACGTCGTCATGAGTGGAACAAATAAAATCATGTTGTTTTTGGTTGGCACAAGTAGCTAGCTAAGGTGTCACGTTCAATAGTCTGCCAATGGCCACTCACAGTAGAGACTCGTGAGTCCAGGCATATCTCCAAAGGGACCAGATGTAAATTTAGTTGAGAAAATGCTCAAATTGAACACTTGAGACAACACTAAATTGAGGTCTGGTGGATAGAAGTGAATTCAGTGACCTTAGGAACGATGGTGTTCTTTATTCAGTCTGAAATGATCTCCGTATTTTGAGTCGGTCAAAAGGATCAATAATTTACCGGCTTGGCGTAATCTGATGGCCGTGACTGTTCGAATATCTGTAAATTTCTCTTAGAACACCACAGCTAGTCGTTTAGTAAGAGGTCCCGATAAAATTCAGTCTAATATTTGGTTTTATCAATATCTGAACTCTGTGGCGTTCAATCACAATATCAGCAAACTATTTTCAAGGTTTCTTTGCCGCATCTCATTCTATTCTGTAAATTACAAAATGCCATAAAACGAAAAAGAAGGAGATTTTATTCTTCTCGCGGATTGATATAAGGGCTGTATATAGATGCCTGTTATAAACAAAGACAGGGGAGCAAGCTCAGCATATCCGGTTGTGTTGCTAACTTGTTTTTTTACTGATTAAGTGGATCGATAAAAAACCAAAATGAAACATTGTTATGCAAAAAAACAAACAAGCAACCAAACAAACAGAAAAAAAAAGCAAGAAAATGAATGACCGGAAGTACGAGTTATCTTAACTCACGTTCTTGTTCAAAGAAGGGATCATACATTGAATGTCTAGTCTCGAGGTTTTCAGGAGAAAATGTTGGAATTTACTCAATTTTTATAGTAATGTTAAAAAATTTGTGGCACTTGGGAATTTTTTACAGCCATGATTTGGATAAAATATTCAGATATGATACGTAACAAATTTGTACTGACATTGCTGAACGATATTAATTCTTACAAACTTAACAGAAATGATTTAATTCTCAGTACTGGAATTACGGGTGCGCCATAAATGGAGCACGGCCACTCGAACTGCCAAGGGGGCAGGGTGGGGGAAGAAGAGCAGTTGATGGGAAGGTTCAAGTCGAATGATGAGTGGAGTATTAAGAAATTATTTTCAAGAAGGGTGGATTGAGGTTCCGGTTATCGCGAGGCTCGAGTTCATGAGGTTTTTCAGTACTTCGCATCGATACAGGTCATTTCATCTCTCTGAGTTGATGTAAACAAGGTTTGTTTCAATGTTTAACCAGGAGCCAATTACTCGGCTCCTGGTTTAACCAGGAATAACTGTCAGAGACTTTGATTCGTGCGTGACACATGTCAGATGATGAGTGTGAACATTATATCAAGAGCTAGAAGCACCGCCTGTTGTGATTTTGGGACATTAATCGGTTTACATAATCAACGCAACCTTGAATGACCTTTTAAATCAGTACTTGGCAACAACCAATCACAATGTAGAGAATATCGTAAAAGAAAGTGATTTCTTACTAATTTTGCAGAGTAGCTTTTTACACACCCGTTGTACATAAGCGAATACGAGAATGGAATAAAACAGTTTGATTGAGTCTAGTTCGTAAGAATTCTATCCCTAGTAAACAGGGCAAAGTTTACGAAATAACGAAGGTGTCTTTGAACGCAGTGCTTGAGAGACGAATTTATGAGATTATAGGAAAAACAAACGGTTTGAGGGAATGATAATCGGTTGAAAATAATTAGTAAACGCGGTTAAGATTAAGATGAAAAGAGGAAGAAAAAGAACTCGACGCAAGAGGAGAAGAAGAAGGAGAAAAAGTAGAAGAAAAAAGAAGAGGAAGTTAGTGATGATGATTATGATAAATATTGCTTAGGTTTAGGTAATTTTACGCAAACTTTACTTAAGTCCTAGACATGAATCAATTTGTAAATGTGGAGCACCTGTCACACATCTGTCAATTTAGAGTAAATATCAGGGAAAAAAACATTTAAGTTTCTTTGTTCGTATAATTTTTCAGTTAATGTTTGCGTGGTATTATTCAAACAAATAACAAAGGCTGTTATGAATTGGCGTCACTGATGACGCTTCTTTATTGTTTTTATTGACAGCGCCAGCGCTAAACATGACATGTATATACGTGACGAATTCAGAGGTAAAGACTTGTTTCTGTCAGAAGCACTGATATTCTTCGTAAACGTTTCCTGTGTTAGGAAAGACCACACTAAGCTTGGGAAAAATGAAATCGAGCTTCAATGAAGAAACCCTGGCATTGTTATCAAAGTCCACTGTTAAACTTCTACGTGTTCGAAATGCAATTGATGACGGAACGCTGAAGAAAGAGTCACAAATGCTTCAAAAGCAGAGAAAGGCAAAAGAGAGATTATACCAGAGAACAACAGAATATATTTTACAACAGCGTTCAAAGATTTCTGAAACAAGACCATTATCGTCTCGAAGTTTAAACATAGAACAAGCTGTCACCAAATGGAAAAGTGACCCAAACTTGGCGCGACAAAATTTGTCCCCTCAAATGAGACGGAAAGAAATTGATGCCAATAAAGGGAAACAAACGTTATTATCCTCCTCTTTTCCACGCCTCACGGACCACGCTGACAAACACTCTGAACTAAGTTTGAGTCCTCGCTCCAGGCACCGTGCGTTATCAACACTAAGCCCCGAGTATGGCGGTGTCACAACTTCTCTTCCAGATATAAATGCCGCCTCTAAGTGGAAAAGAGGCGGCAAGATAGTCAGGGACACAATACGACCCTGGAAACTGTCTGACACTCAGCTGGATACTGGACGTCCAAGCTTTGATAAAGATGCCATTACTGATGATGAGTGGAAAGAATTAAAGAATTGTCGGTACTTGCGCACTGTATCGGCGAGGGGAGAACTTAGCAAATGATCTTGATGGTGGAAAAAATCGTGGAATGTATCAGTATGCATGGATAATTTTTGACTGTACCTTAGCTCATAATTGAAGTAAGAAGGAGGATTTTCCCATCCGATCTTGTCTGACGAAATTTGGTCATATATTGACTCATTCTAAAAGCCCATGAACGGCAGGGCCAGCAGACCAGAAGTATCTGAACTGATTAAGAGTAATCATAACAAATTACTTTTTGATCAATGTAAAAGCTATGGGCAGTTTTTAAAGTCATTCATATTAATCAAATACATATTAATAAGCGGCAGTCTTATGTTTTCTTGGGAAAAATTGCTCTACACATCGAAAAGATATGGCATTTAATGAAACACATGCACACGAGCGGAGCAAAAGAACACCATCATAGGAGAACGTTTGAACAGAACAGTGACATACTGCGTACTGGTCACTTCTAAACCTGTACAAGCTTAATCTCTGCTGGCTGACTATGACTGCCCTGGCCCCCGTGATGTCAGCTTTTGTATCGCTCGCAGTTCCCACGTAGTCATGCTACTGAGTGCGTGGGTATAAAAATATTAAAATGATCATGTATAAGTCGTTACAATTTTCATTTTTTTTATGTATAGAAGAAGAAAGAACCAAATTATTTCACAAACATAAATATATAATCTATCTTTTAAAAACGATTAATTTATGGTTTAAATTCTGGTTTACCTGGTTGAGTTACTCATAGTAGCTATATATATTTTGGGATCCATTCTTCAACGAGCATCGGTCTCTTGACTCATTTGTCATCTGATTAAGTACCTTCGAAAACTATCAATTAGTGATCTAGCTCTTCTCACGTTCCCTCCGTGGATGTCATGTATGTATGCTAGTCAGGGGCATATTACTCTAAGTAGTGTGCACCTGTACAAGTTCATTCCTTTAAGAATTATGTGATTTGAGTTGTATGCTGGAAATGAATGAATTTATTGCCCTAATCTCAGGTTGTGGTTTGAGTATATGTACTGCCTCAACAACTTTGCTAGAACGTTCTTATATCTGACTTTATGGCCTAGGTAGGGTATAAAATAACACTAATAAATGCAAACTCCTGAATTAAGAAAAAAATATTAATAAAAGACTAAATGTTTTCATAGACGATAAGATGACAAAGATGGAGACTACATCGAACTCACGTTTACACTCTGACACAGACATCCATCTCTAACCCAAATTTATATTCTCATCATCAGTCGAAGTATAAGAACAGTGATAGCTTCATATTGGCTCTTGATTGTATTTCCTTTTTCTGTTGTTATTCTCAAACTGTTTGTTTACGAACTTATCGATATATTGGCCACCCTAATCTTTTCTCTGTCCAGAACAGCAAAGTCATGCAACTAGTGCGTTTTGATTTGTCTTTAGTATCCCAAAAAAGAGGAATTTGATTTCTAAGACGTCACTCAGTCCTTCAATAGTTTTCTACGCCGTTTTGTCGCTGTATCGGACTGCACTCACGATCGGAGTGGCATGACACATCGTCCTTGTCAGGCACTTGAGAACGATTACACAATACCCGATAAATAACCCTTCAGTTAAAAGCAATGGAAAAAGAAAGCTTGCGAAGTTTCGTTTTCAAAACAACCGAATCTTTTTATCTCTCTTTTAACTTATTCATCTTTCTTACTAAGGTTATTTTTGAGCAAGATTGATTCAGATAGATTAACTAACAACCAAATAATTAAATACGCTCATAAACCTTGTTTGGTGCACCACCGGAAACTGATTTTCATATTGAATTCGCCGGTTGCTGTTGCATGTGTTTTTAGTATATTCTTTCCTCGTTGGTACTTTCCCACAATACGAAGAGTTATTTTTGGTTTCCTCTCTGAGATGACCGCAAAAATCAACAACGGAAATGATAGTATGATAAGGCATCTTTTTGAGTGGGAAGACAGAGAATGAGGTAAGGTAGTTACGTCTTTGTCACGGTGGGTGCATCTGGAAAAATTTCACCGTTTGCAATGCGGTCCGTGTCAATGTTATGCAGCTTTGGCCATCCTTATTTCCTCTTGGCTCACTTCTGCTTCTTTCGAGTTTTTCTAAAATATTAAACTATTATTGCGCAGTCTTTTTTAGACTCACGCTAGTTTGATCGGCACTCTACGTAACTCGTATATCGTGACGTTAAGCTCATAATTATGATTGCAATTGTTTTGTCTATTTTGTGATATTGGACAGGATGTCGTTTCTGAAAAAGCGGATACACTTAAAATATCACATATTAATGTTTCAGTGTCTTAAGTTTGTGTCAGATGCAGTGAAATAATTCAAGGCGGCGCAAGCTCGTGAAGTTTACAACTAACAAAATGAATGCGAATCATGAAGAGCCACCGGTACTTCTATCGAAAAACACCAAAAGGACCTTACTCATGCGAAACGCCATCAACCAAGAGACTCTTAAGAAACAGTCTCGTCTCTTAGAGAAAGAGAAAAGTTCAGAGGAAAGGTTATTTCTAAAAAAAAAGGAACATCTTTTACAACGTCAGGTGACAAGGGGCTTAGAAACCAGTCAAAGTCGACCTTCTTCTTCTCGCAGCTTAAACTTGGAGAACTCAGTCACGAAATGGAAAAAGGCAACAGCTTTGTCTAAAGAATGTTCTCAATCTCATTTGCCGAAAAAAATAGAGGTCAATCTAACACCTATGTCTTCTGGGAAGTTGGAAAACGCGCTGAACAAATGGAAAAACGTAACCGCTTCAGCAAGAGAATCAACTCAATCTCCTAAGCCAAGGAGGAAAGAAATTGTTGGAAATAACCGACAAAGGCGTTTGCTTTCCTCACTCTCTTTGCAGTCCGATGAGGACGAAATAGAGGCAGTTCCTCTCAGGTCTAGAAGTAAAACATTCTCAACTTTTAGTTCTACAGTTCCTCTTCCTGACATACACGCCACGTCCAACGGAATAACAGGACTGAAAAAATGCAATGACACACAGCTGCCAGATAGTTTGGAAATTTGTCAAGAAGATGATTGGAAACCTTTGAGAGAGTGTCGATATTTGCGCACGAGTTCAGGAGAGGAAGAGCTCTGTGGTATTTAGAATCAACGCTTAACTACAGAATAGAGTAAGAATTGAAAAAGAAACATCCATACAACAAAATTGAGCATATTGAATTCACCATGGATTTAGCTTTGGTCAGTTGATAAAACATCAATGCCAGTCTGACTATTTCAGAAAGAATCAAATGAGTCATAATTTCAGTTCTTAATGTGCTAAATATTGAACTCCATGTTTTTGACAATCAATATCAGGTAACTAGTCATAGAAGGGAGACTTTTAAATATCTATTCCTTCTAGAAAGTGAATTGAGATTCTTTGGCTCGCGTGAGTTGTTCATGGAGCTCCAAGTTTGTCCTTTTTGTACGTAAGAACAATATATTTTTAATCAATTAATGCTAATGGTGATTCGTCTCCTAACGAGCTAAGAAACACTCCAAGAGGTCTGGTTGGGGAGGCAAAAGTTTAATGACGATCATTTGTCTCAAACGATTGAATTTTATATTGTTGAATAACACAATTGCTTTGTTTGTCAGAGAATGGAACGATATTAATCCACTGGCTTTACATGCAAATTTGAACGACTTCTATCGGTCAATTAATCGGCCAGGTCTTTCTCTAAATCGAAAATTTGGGAAATAATAATCCGCCCTTAAACTTTAGTTCTAGTGACTGAAATTTTTCTCTCCGTTACCCACGCATTTAGATAGATAGATAGTTTATTGAAATATCATATTGCAGCCCAAAGGCTAAGTTGCTTATTATTTTATAATACATACAGATAAAATTACTATAGTACAGGTTATGTGAATGTGAAAGCGATCTTCGCAGTAATGAATACTACTTGAGCAGTAGTGAAAATAAGGCCTGAAAAAAAATTCAGGTCTGTATGGGATTTGAACCCATGACCTCTGCGATACCGGTGCGCGCTCTACTAGCTTAGTTAACATGCCAACTGGGAGCTCCCACTTGGCTTGTTAAGTTAGGTTAGGTTGATCTCCCAAGCTAAGAATCGTAATATTCAAGAACAGGTCTTACAACTGAGCGATAAAAATTGACAACGTAGTAAGGGTTTAAACCCGCTCTTTAAGAAGAACCAAGAGGCATAATCTCTTACTGGACAGAGTCGCTCCTAAAACCTTAGCGGAGTTGACAATAGAGAGTTCCTTCCCATCAACGATGACAGGCTCGAACGCGTGCCTGTTCTTCTTAAAGTCGATGTTCATGACTTGACACTTGTCGGCATTCAAGGTCATCTTGTGCTCGCACGACCAGTTCTCAACAGCGTGAACACCACTCTGGATGTTACCCGGCTGCCTTCGCGGTACGACCTCGGCTACTTTAGTGTCATCCACGTATTTCCGGGTCTGAAAGCCTGAGACCTTGAGGTCATTTATCACTAATATAAATAACCAAGGGTCCAGCTTGGTGCCTTGGGGGACGCCAGCGGGGACTGGGCCTCATTCCGAGAAACATTCTGCAGATAGCTTGACACTTTGTTGTCGGTCCATCAGGAAGTCTGCAACCTAGTGGGCGACGCTCTTAGGGATTGGTAAATTGAAGACCTTGCACACCAGCAGGGTGTGGTCGATGAAATCGAAAGCCTTCCTATAATCGAAGAGGACAACTCTCACAGCAGCTCCAGTACTTTCAGTAGCTGTATTCCAGTTGTGCACCATTGATGTTAGGGCGTGAAGGGTAGAAGATCTCGGAGTTCCTCCAACCTGGTTAGAGTCGATAACATCCATCGCAGCAGGGCCCACATGAAGACCAACCACAAAATCTTTCGCAACTTTGGACAGCGCCGGAGTCAGGAATATGAAGAGATATGACCTGACGAACTATTTAATGTAATCATATAAGTTTAAAAGGTAATCAGTGACGATGGCTGTTTTTTCTTTTTCCGCGACGATTTACTGTTGCTAAAACTTGAAGTTTGGGGTAGTTACACAGAAATAAAAAGCTTTTTCTTATACATAAAGGGCTGCGTCGGTAGGGCTTGTTACAAGATAATTGGTTTTACTAACTGAGTTGATAGTGTAAATTGGCCCGGCTCCGGTTTCAACAATTGACGTTTGGGTTTCCCTTAGACGAAGAGCTAACGCTCAAAACGTCAGCTTTAGTTACTCATTAGGATGGTTGATTTGCATTATCAACTCAATTTATAAAACCAAATGTATTGTAAAAAAAATTAATTTACGAAAGAGTCCAAACTCAGTAGAAAATATGTATTAAATTTGTTAAATGAACCACAAAATCTAGCTGAAATAAAAGCTCCGAAACTTCTTAAATTTCCAAGCAAAGGGGTAACAAATTTACGCGAACGAAAGCTCAAAAACAACTGACTAAAACTCCGCGAAAACAAACTAAAAGTACGCCAAAAATGTCTGCATCATTTTTTCAACGTCAAGGTTAAAATTCTTTGACGTGATTTGCTAATTTGTAAAATCACAAAAATGAATGTGAATACAAAAAGAATACAAAGAGGGAAAGAAAGAGAAAAACTGTTACTTGAAATTTAAAAACGAAAGAGATTTTCTACATGTGTCTCGCATTTCCTAAACAGACGCGTGTACTCCAACAGCTAGAGCTTGAATGTTTTATTTGATTTTTTTCGGTTACCAAGATGTCTCTAGATACGTCATCAGAGTATCATCGAGCGATCAAAGCAATATTTTAAGGACTTCATGGTAAACTCCTTTTTTTACTATTTTTAGATCAAATCGAAGGCATTCCCACTGGTCTGTTCCGTTACAGATCTCAGATGACTTCAGTCTGCGGTAAAAAAGCAGAAATTGGCCCATAATTATTGTAAATGAGTGTGAAATTGATAGTCTTACCATCTTTTGACGTCTTCAATAATCTACAATGAGTGGTAAAAGTTTGAGTGTGTTTCATTATTTTCCCTCATAGTTGTTAGAGTTCGACTCCCTCACTCCCTCCCCACCCCTAATACAATGATAAATTTTCTTAATCTTACCTCGCTCTCGAGGTACAACGATTTTGGGAAGGGGGGTGGGGAGGGTATGGAATAAGAATTTCTGAGGGTCACAAACTGTTTTGAACCATGATTTTTGCGATGAGAAATCACATTCTTCCTTAAAACGAATCGAATTTGTACTGTTGCGTTCGACAATTTAATTTTTATTTTTCCTTTATGTTGAAACTGATATGCGACCCTTGAATAATAAGACCTTTCCAATTGAGCAAACCTACTATCGCACCAAGACCCCTCACGGCCTGGCAGAGGAGGGATCTGTCTTAGAGCTCCTCAATTTCCTAGTCATTTGCATAATCTCAACATTTTTTTGGAGAAAAGAAGCGATGGTAAGATGATTATGAGGTTTGAGAGCTTTATTTTAATTAGCATATAAGCCCCAAAATATTACCGCTTCTTTAAAGAATCCTTTGTCACAGATGGTGTCTGCGTTCTTAATTAAGAAGATACTGAGAACGCTTTGGATAAAGCACACCGACTGATGATCGGCCTCGAGATGATATATCAAGAGACACAAGACAATTCTTTGTTTTGACAAGCCTTTTCAAAATAAAACTATTACTCGTCATGACAATTAAAGGAATCCTTTGTTTAGCTTTCGTTAATTAAAAAGCGTTTGAAACAAATGCAGTTTGAATGATAATAGAATATATATGTGCGTGAAATTTATGTTACTCAGTAAGCCTTTTGGAGAGTGATCTCGCGCAGACTACAGAATCAACATCTCTTTTAGCAGAAAAGTACCACTTCAAAAGCTAACATGGACTTTGAAAAGGAAATGCAAAAGTCTCTTAAAGTTATTTTCTACAACATCAAAGTCCTAGAAACCAAAAGGAAGACGTCAGTCTCATGGAATTATTCAAAGAGTGGAGTTAGTCAGCGCAAAATAAGTTTACCAGTAAAGAGAGTTACTCCTAAGTTTGAAGAACAGCATAGAGTAGCAAGAGAGCGCTGTTTTAGTGTTTAAAGATGGTTGGGCAGAGTTGACATGGATATTCGTACAAAGAGTTTATGATCCATATTCTTCAAGAAGACTGTAGCAGACAGTCCCTGTCATGGATGTGAAAAGTGACATAACATGGAAACTGTGCTGAATCTTTGTTGACTGACTTCAGAGAAATGAAGAAGCTGTGGCTGTTATAACTTTCATTTCTTGATCTGATGGGCGAGTCATAAATCAAAAGAGCTAGTTAATCGCCTGGAGAAAAAACCTACCGATTTTCAACTTTTTCAGAGAAAGAAAGCTCATTTAATCATGTTGTTTATGTTCAGATTAATTATGTAATGTTCACGCAATGATATAAAGATTCTTTTTTGCAACACAAATTGAATGAGCTCACTCATGTGCATAAGTGTTGTTCACGTGCAAAGTGCTCATCGACCGCTAGAAAAAGTGTGAAACCTCTCATTCTGAAGCTACATGTGATATGTAAAGGACTGATGTGAATAAAAAATTGAATGACATAAACGTAACATTGTGATGCTTTCTTGAAAACAGTTTCCTTCTTTAAATACTCTCAATCAGAAAATTAACTTGAGTGATCTCGAGAATGGAGAAATTTTCATGGTTGGACGGTCGGCCTCACGATTATTAAACCGACTACACTTAGTTTATTTGACACTTTAAACTTTTGATCCCATAGTAACCTGCGCTTGAAACTGCCGCTCTACTTAAAGTTTTTTTTTATAAGGTTGTGACAGAAATTTAGTAGAATGTCAAAGGACGCACGTGAGTGTCATACCATTCCATATTACGTAACTCACGTGCAGTTCCACCCTATCCTGTGTTATATAATTTTCATAAGTTTAAT